CCCTATAACGCGGGTTCATATAATGCGGATTCGTATATCGCGGCGAAAAAATTGCGACCGTATTCGTATAAAGACGCTAAAAGAGACTAGTAAAATGCGGTAAAACGTCATCGCCGACTCGTGTCGCGACAGGATTGGTCGAATCTGGCCCAATAGTAGACGAGCAGCCGAACTACTTACATGCTACGGAGAGTTTAGGCGGGTAAGTTGAGTTTACTATCATCTGTACAGTATATAAATTAGGTACTGTAAATCTAATACAGTACTGTAATTTTATACATTTTTTGTAAAAAAACATTTCTTATTCAACGGCCATAAAAATTATTTCTATTAATGATGTCTCCAAAGTTAAGCGAATTTTTTGCAGAAAAATAACTTATCAGGAAACACGCGCCCGCCATGTGCTGCTCCGCGACAAAAACAAGCTTAAGCAATGGCGTCGTCGAACGGTGCACGCTCGGTAAGTAATCCAAAAATTTTTTGTTTTTAGCATGGTTTATACGGATTATTCTAAAAAAATTATACGTGTTTTGGAAATTTAGAGTGAAATTAGTCTAGAATCTATTAATTTTATGGAAGAAAACCTTTCAAACAGCCGTAGTCGTAAACTGCACACGTGACGGGCTGTGATTGGCTCATGTATTTAAGGATTCCTACAACGCGAAATTCTTATAAAGTGAAACGTATCTACCGCGCTATAGGGGGTCGACTGTATCTAGTTGGTAATGATCCGGTGGGGCCTGAGCTACTACCAAGTTAAAGCTTTGGCCGAGCGGTTAAAGTGGCATCCTACCCGGGTTACGGGTCGAAAAAATCCCACGAAGTTTTCGGGGGTGGTCCGTCCGAATCCCGTCCCTCATCACCAGACTGCTCCATTACGAGCCCGGTCGAATCCATAATAAACTTGCTAAAAAGAAGGTCCTCTTAGTGCCCACAGGGGTTAGGCTACTCATTCGCCGATAATAAGGGTTTGCTTCACGTTTGTAACACGTAATAGGAACCAGTTTCCCATACAAGTCCTCCCAGGAGGCACCCTCTCGGCAGTGTCGCGTTGCCATAACCAAATAAACCAAACCGATTATAAACTTTAGAGATGAAGAATTAAAAATAAATCTACTTCACAGTCATAAACCAGCCATTGATAAGATTTTCCATATTGATCAGGGGATAATAGCAACTTAGTTAATAACACTTATATTAGTTTATTACATGTGGATTCTTTATTGAAATTGTACACCAGTTATAATAAACGAATATATTTAATACAGAATAATACAAAATACTTATGTACGAAGTTGTATTCATTTACTTCTTGCTAATACTTCAATATGAAGGATACCAAAGGTTTATAATAAAAGAGAAACTTATTACTTAGGCTAAGTTTGGACTCACACTTTCAAATTCGCTTTGGGAAACCTCCTTGCAAAATGTTGAAAAGTCTCCATGCGATACGCATCATCCTAAGGAGCACACTAGAGGTAAGTGTGCCTATAACATCAAACATGCATTTACCATGACTGGGAGGAAAACATTCAGTTAAATGGCGCACATGTGTATTGTAATATATATACTAATTAATTTAAAATTATTCCATATGCGAAACTTTCTTCTTAGATATAGATTTTTGTAGGTAGGCATTATAGAAAAATCTTACAAATAAATAACAATAAAGAGTATAGATAAAGAGAGCAACGTAAATTCTAGATTCGGTTAACTCGCAAGTTCTGTACAATTTAAAGTAAACGAAGCTCCATACTGTGACGAAAGTTGCCAATATCATTTGTAGTATTTGCATAGTAGTAACGAACATGGGAACGAATTTGGGCATAGAAATTTGCATCGATGTAACAGCGTAGTATCCATACATCAAAGAATGAACGGCCAAATTCATCGAAGAGTACCATCTACTTACGGCATTCGGTTCCGAAGCAATGTACCAACAAACGAACAGACTTACGGCGTGATGAAACCAGTGCATAAAAATGATTTTTCTTTTACGAAAAATAAGAAAAGCCGTGTCAAATAACTCTGGTACTTTACACCACAGAAACATTAAGTTCCAGAACGTTGTGGTTTTCAATTCTACATGAGTCGATCTGCAAATAGAATAAGTGAAACCAAAATAATATAAAGCATATATAAACTCTGGAAGTATCCTAATTGCCGCTAAAGTGTGGAACGTGCAAAGAACCAAATTCCAAATAATTAACAATGGTTTCATATTAAACGGTGGGCGATTTTTCATATATTTCTGTCCCCCGTATATTAGAATTAAATATGCGAAAATGTAGTAGATGCAATGATGCCATTTATATTTAAACCATTGTTTTCCAGCTCTAACATCGAAATTTCTTTCGAAGCCAAAATGAAAAGAATATAAAGATGTTTCGTCAATTGTCTGGTTCCTCACGTAATTCATCCTGAAAAAGATAAAAGTATCAAGACATTTGAATACTCAACGATAATCTTTCTGTTATAATTTATTTAAAATGGAGGACAAGGCTCCAAATTTTATATTCTTTACAGTTTTATATGTTTTTCAATACATATTTAGTGTTTTTTATTGCATATTAGACAAAGAGAATTTAATTAAAAGAGTAAGAAAGAACATTGGAAAGAAGAAGAATTTGAAAGAAAAAAAATAGCTTTAATACTATTAATTTTTTGTTTAATTAATTTTAAGTTATAAGCAAGCATTTTATTAATTTTTCAGTTATAATTTTGCTCGCAGGACGGGGAGAAATCTTGTACAAATAGGATTAATTAAACTAATCAGACTAATTGATCCTAGCCTGGTGCTATTCTTCATAGAACCCGCACTAAGGTTGCAATCTCTTGAAGGAAGAAAATTTTTATTATAAAGAGAAAACTATTGTTTTATTACGTGCTAATTACAGATCATTGTATCTGTTTTCTAATGATCCTAATTGGGGTTCACATTTGCTGTAATGGAAGGAACTAGAGTGGACCTCTATTACAATCTCTTACTACAATCTACAATCCGTTTTTGATAGATTGTAGTAAGAGTAAGTATACAAATTTCTAATATATTTCTATATAACAAGGGATTAAGAATTGATTTTATTAAAATATTATAGAGAATTTATATAAAATTCCCATATTTTTTTTATCAAAAACTCTCTTATAGAATTAAAATTAGCTATAAATGTAAGAAGTAAATTAATATACGAAAAATTAACATGATTTTACAGTACTTACATGTTTAAAGGATGAAAGGAAAGTGATATAATCCTCCGGTTTATTTCTTTGTGAGAAAATACAATTTCCTTTTCGTTCTTCCTTCTTAACCTACTTCGGAATTAGTGCTTGATCAACAGGCAGTTTCCCTTTTATTTATCACAACAGGAAGATAAATCGTTATCAAGGTAACGAACGTTCTATCAAAGTACCATCTATTTATTGGTGTTTGTTAAATTTAAAAATTTATGGTTTTTTTTTGGATTTATTTTATTTCACTAACATAAATAATTTTAACTGAAAAAAAATACCATAATTTATTATGTTTTGCATCTAATTTTTACACATACAAGATTAATGTTTTATAATATTCCTGTGAAGGCTCAGAGGATGGAACAATAGAGCTTTTGATCTGGAAACGTATACAATAATGATATATTCTAGTCTTTTTAGTCTCGACTCATTCCTTTTTTTTCCCTTTAAGTAAATCATATTAATAGCTGTTACTATTTATCTTCTCTCTTTTAGTTTTGTATAGTTACATGGCAAAATAGTGGCACTCCACGCGGATGATGGCATATTACCTTAAATGACTAAAGTTCTCTGAATTCCCTTCACTAGGAGTTCAGCAAAGGATCGAAGGAAAATCGTTCTGTATCCAATAATATGGGGGAATGAATTATAGTGGGGCATTCTATAATTGTATAATCTCTTTTTTAATTGTATATCTATATTTTTTTCGGGTTTGTACTCATAGGTTCTTGAAATGTCGAGAAATAGAAACTGTCCCTATTTAGGTGTTACAAACGGGACGAGACCCGAAGAACTCCACGTGGCTAGCCCCCATTGAAGAGTCACGAATCAGTTGTAGTAAACAAGTTTATCATAAGAAAAGCGTAAATGTGACACATAACATTCAAAAAATAGCATACTACTTTCTAATACACCTTGAAAAATCAATTTTATTTTGCCTTTTCTTTTTTTACAGTAGATTTAATTAAATAAGAACGATAGAAAAATCGAATAAACAGCAATAAATTTATGAGGTAAGTAAAAATGGCAACTAATATTCCACTTTCACTTATATCACAATCGTTAAAATTATATAATATAAATAAACTAATAAACGTACAAAATGTTCCAATAATCATTTGTATGATCTGAACGGATGTAATAAACATAGATATTAATTTAGGTACCCGAATATTTGCGCATTTTACAGCAAAATAAGCGTACATCAGAGAGTGTACAAAGAAGTTCATGGTTACGTACCATCTGCTAATTGATGACAATTCAGAAGCAAGATACCACGAAAAGAATAGAGTTAGGGCATGATGAAACCAATGCTGAAAGATTAAATTCTTCTTACGAAGAACAATAAACACCGTATCAAGTAACTCTATTACCTTTGACCATAGAAAAAGACAATTCCAACATACCGACACTTGAAAATTTTTATAACTGTTAATGCAGATTGAATGTACGAAACCGAATTCTCGTATAACGTAAATTAATTCTGGACTCGATCTGATGGTTCCTATAATACTGAACGAAAACAATAGAAAGTTCCATAAGAACAGCATAATCCTCAAGTCGTACGGTTTACGGTTTTTCATGTATTTTTGTCCTCCGTAAATCATCATTAAGTAAATGATTATAAAATAGAAACTGTGATGCCATTTTAGTTTAAAGTATTCTTTACATGTTTCTATGTTCATATTGTATTCAAAATTAAAATAAGGCGAATATCCAGGATTATAATTGAAATCTGTAGAATTCTTCATATTTATCTGTAAAGAAAGAAATGTAAGTTATTTATTATGATTTTTATATACAGAGCGAATCAAAAGTTCCGTGTATACTTTTTGTTTACCTTGAAAATCATTTTCAAGATCAACAAAAATGCTCCATGCATGACTTCCTATGTAGGTACATTAATACATTTCAGTGCTTTTGGAATGAAAGAGGGTGCAAGAGACTTTTGACTTAAGTTCAGAGTACTCAACTTAAAAGCGGACCCTTCAGTAATTTGAATACTTTAAGTATTAATAAAGCACGACAAGTATGTACAAGTATTTACAGACTGCGTTGGAAATGATGTATGTCTATCCATTTTAATGAATTTGTCAATGTTTTACCATATTCCTCAGCAACTTTTAATAGAACTCTCTGGTCTATTTTTGTGACAGAAATGAGTCTTTCGTCAAATTATTCCTGCAGCATCTCTACAGTAGAATCAACAGTACGACAAGCCACAGTAACCGCTTATTTGTCGGCTGAAAACAGTACACCACAAGCGTACTTTTTGTAGTTATAGAGGCGATTCAATAAAACTATGTGATCTTTCAGGATTTCCAGTAGTTCCATATTTTAGGCTACATATCCAGCAAGACAGAACCACGAAGAACACTAGATCTAAAAGGGTAATGTTGACTCGAATCAGGTTTTTAAACCATTGAAGTGTTTAAATCTTTTTGTATAGTCAGTAGGAGTTCTTTGAAAACATGAATTGGCATGGGTTCAGCATTTTCCTCACAGCAATATATACTAAATCTACAGAGATATTCTCTTGCTGGCTTAATTTCCTCGAATATATGTGAGAAGATCGGAACAGATAGAAACAATTAATATTTAAAGGGAGAAGAAAAAGAAGAGAGAGAAGAAGAAGAAAGAGAAAAAGGAGGAGGAGGAGGAAGAAGAGGAGAAGGAGAACTTCTCCTTCTTCTTCTCCTCCTCCTCCTACTGAAAGAAGAAAGGGAAAAAAATATTTTAAGAGAAAGCTGTCATTTTTATTACTGTAGATGCAAAACTTGTTTTTAAAGTTATTATATTATCGCTATAAACAAAACAAGGAAGAAACGCTCTATCGATTCACTACCTACAACGACCTATAAGGAAACTCGGTAAATGTATGTTAATTACCATTCCTATGTTAAATTTAAAGCCATTATATTTTTTACATAAAGCCTAACGTATCGTTTCTCGCTTTGTACCTTCGAATAAAAGTATATAGGTTAAGAAGATATGATTTAATTCTATACAAAGGGAGACAAATCTAGTTGATAATATTTAAAATTATTTAGAAGTTAGATTGAGTATTTTTATTTTATTTTTAGATTAACAATAAAAATAATAATAATAATTTAATCCATCCATGTCTTTAAAATGGTATAACCAATGAAGAATTTTTACTATTTAAACACAGATTTAATGATAGAAAGTCTATTCAATGAAACTTTTCGAGGGTAATCATCAAAATTTTTCATCTATCTTACTTTAAAACATGATAAGAATAAAAATATAATACCAAAAATAAGTCATTATTTATAAATTTAATATATATTTAAAAGGATTTAAAGATTTTGGGAAATTTCCCCTTTTCCCTTTGTCTTTGGGCTGAAGCCCATTGGTCCTCCTCTGGATGCACCATTGTATTCTGTGAACGCTCATGTGTTTAGGTGTATATACAATAGATGTGTGTGTACGTGTGCGTGCCTTAACCATAAATATTTTAAATATAAAATCCATTTAAACTTATACACGTTATAAACTACTGATAGATATGTTACCATTCAACATGTGTTCTACGAGTACATAAATGATTAACAAACTAATATTTTATAACGAGTTAGCCTATATTAATATATGGTAATAATAAATATATTATAGTATAATTTTAAACCACACTTTACCTATATTTATAACGCTAAGTTTTCTGCTGGCACGAGAAAGAGTGTTAGAGAAAATGTTACATTTATTAAATATACCCGATTAAATATGGAAGAGTGAATACAATTTCTTCGAAATATCATTGGATAAACAAAATTAGAATTTTGTTTTTTCTTATTAAATCACAATAAACAATCCAGAAATGAATTTAATATTTAAATATAAACTGTCCTAAAGGTTGGATGATAGACATTGATGCAGTTCGATGACATGCTTTTGAACTTGTATTACCTGGTTAACTGACAATGAAAGGAGTTTCAATTGAAGTTTTGAGGTTAAGGAAAGTATAGAAACATTGTTAAAAAATTAACTTTATTTTCTAAGTATATAAGGTAATGACACTTTAAAATTTATTCTATAAATTAACATAAATTTCTTTTAAAATTTATTACTGTATCGGAATATGTGTTGAAAAGTGTATTGCAAAATATAATATAATTAATTGTTGTATAAAACGTAAGTATAGCCATAATGCCCATAAATGCTGGTGTGTTTTGGTAAATTTTTAATAGAAACGAAGAAAAGAGTGAGAGGAAGAAGATTAGCCAAGTGGATTCGTCTTATAAATCGAGTAGTTCAACCAATCGATAGTCAGTAAACTTATACAGCAATTTATTTGAAATATGTTTTCTTCATTGAAGAAGAAAAGACCAAGAAAAATTTTCCTAAATTTAGTTCTTTATAGAGATATAAAAATAATAAATGTTGAGGTTGAATCGTAAAGTTCTAATTCAGAAAACACAGATCATATTTGTATCCTTTCGAAAACATAAATAGAAGTCATGGCTTTTAATATGTAAAACATTCTTCATCATCAAAAATTTTAATTAACAATCCGATAAAGCGAGCCGATCACTGGGCGCGTTATTCTATGGGCTAAAAGGAAAATTGCCTGGGGTCACTCCAGCAGGGCCCCCAACCAATTTTTTATAAGAAAATATTTTTCCTAAAACACTTCTCCAAAGAAAATTGTATGAAGTCCACACTAAATCTCGTTATATCGAGTGATAATAAATAAATCCATATTATTCGAATCGGCTATTTTTCCTCATAAAACGATGGCCAACGAATTAACTGAGGAACAGATCGCCGAATTCAGAGAGGCGTTTTCTCTGTTCGACAAAGACGGCGACGGGCACATCACCACCGAAGAACTGGGCACCGTCATGAGATCTCTGGGCCAAACTCCCACCCAAGCCGAATTGCACGACATGATCAAAGAGGTGGACACCGACGGAAGCGGCAGCATCGAATTTGCCGAGTTCCTGAATCTGATGGCCAAGAAGATGAAGGAGGCCGACGACGAAAACGAGATCATCGAGGCCTTCAGGGTCTTCGACAAAGATGGCGACGGTTACATCNGGTGAATAGAAAGTAAATAAATGGCTCCTTCAACTCAAACAGTAAACGAGTCGCACCCGAAAGGAATTAATGCAGTCCTACTCGGGCCACCTGGAGCTGGTAAAGGGACGCAGGTCTGAATTACACTTCATTATATAAATTTATCAAAATCTGTAATCAGCACATCGAGGCCTTCAGGGTCTTCGACAAAGATGGCGACGGTTACATCCATATCGAAGAACTTCGCGACGCCATGATGAATCTGGGCGAAAAGATGACGGCCGAAGAGACCGAAGAAATGATTCGTGAGGCAGACATCAATAACGACGGGTTGATTAATTACGCCGAATTTGTCAGGATGATGTCCGAAAAATGAGGCCGCTCCTTAGAATTACGAATATCCAATTTGTTCTTTCGGAAGGGTTATTTATTTATCCTAAATTTCATTAAAATTGTAATTTTGAGTTAGTATATCACGTGTGGTTTATTTTCTTTAGATCTTACGAGGACTTTTTTTGGTTTACATTTCTATAAGCTACTAGCAAAGAATGGACGGAGTTACCTGGGAACTCCAGGAGAGGATTGAGTTCTATTCCTTACAATGTAGCGTGTGTTTCCCGCAGGATGGCAGATAGTAACTATGAAAAATTTGGTCCAAACCGGTTTGGCAATTTGTGCGGATGAAATCAACGAGGAGCGAGAGTCCGAGTTTGAATGTGCAGTATATTTTTGGAGGTTTGTAGAGAGTAACAATGCAAAATTTATCTGAATTGCTCAAAAGCCGAAGCCACGGTGATGCGTTATAAGTTCGTGAGGACCCGGGCCAGTTTGAATTAGGTGGCTCTATGTACAGTGTTGACTTCAAACATTTTTTTCTGGGGGGAATAATCGATATTTTTGTTCGTTTTTGAACGCTATTTCTGACAGGTTTTAAGTTCTACGCTATGGTATTGCTCCCTGCGCCTGTGCCACACTAATAATCTAGAATCTACAGAAATAATTCAAATTTGAATTTCGATACTGTATTTGTACTATAGTAATGAGTTTATAAAAAATTGGCTTAAAGTCCCTGTTGATAGAGAAGTTGTCCATTTTGTAGAAGTAAGGGTCATCGAGAATTAGTGTAAGATTGTAAAGGTCATCGACACGAAAAACATTGAGAACAACTGCTGTAATACCATTGTCTTGCAGTGTATAAATGTAGTTTACTATTTTAAAAATAAATGCCTTATTATATAAAAATCGCTTGTTTTTTGAGTTTTTTGAAATACAGTACAGTACATGTTTTGCTTTTAAAGTCGCACGCCTGCAATTGCAAAGATCGTTCAAGTCTGTTGTGAAATCATAACTAATATTTAATATCTCGAAATGAAGAAATGATTAAGAAATAAACTTTGATACGGTAGCTTGTGTATAAGAGGCATTGATGCCATTAAACTTTGGTAGTTAAAGGTCAATAGGGTAGGGAGATAGAGCGGGGTCACGTGTGATATTTCAAGATGGTCGGGGTTAAGTTGAATAGATATTTGAACTGTCCTGATTTTGTTTAGGCTTTCGGCTGTATCAATACTTTAACCAATAACAAAACGTATTTAAGTGACGTCATAAAACGGACATCTAGTCTGTAGGCTATTATTTAAGTCTATTGTTAATTTAATAATATATTCATATGATATTTCAAGCATATTTGATAAAAATTAAATTCTTAGTGACTTTTCAAAAATATGCAGCTGCATCTCTGAGATTCATTGGCATGCATTGTGTTGAACTGCCTATCCCGAGCTTCTCGAAGGCAAGATATTTCTATGGACGAAATGAATTAGCAAAAAGACAGACGAGGAGTTGCCGTGCATATTGAATCGGTTAAAATACATGATCTGGATGTTTCCGAATTGTTTTCTGATCAATTCCCAGAACATAGTGTGAATGAGAAAAGTAAGCCAGCATGTCCAGAAGTCTGAATAATTACATCAGAGTCGCCTTACAAGACCGACCCTAATTTATTGTCAATATGATTTTCATGTCGACATTGACGAAGTTTTAGTTATAATCGTGACATCGTATCCAAGGAGGATACAATTAAATGTATTGCACGAATTGAAGATTTTCTTGAAGACATGAAACTTTATTTTTCAATATACATAATACGATTTTTCTTATTCCATAGAATCCCCCAGAAAATTTTTTGACGACGAGCCTTCTGTATATGAGCACCGCCGACTAAACTGAGGAAGCTTAGCTATCTCATAGCCCCATAGCTAAGTCTCTGTTCTAAATTAAATGCCTTATCATGCACAGTATTTTGGTATGGTACGAATACAGTGAGATGACTTTTAAGGGTTTGGAGGTTTTAATGATTATTTTAGTGCAAAGTTTTATTGAAATAAAAATAAAGAAAATAAAATTCCATACTGAAAAAGAATGAAAAAAGTTAAAATGCATTATAGTCATTGTAAAACGATTTTTTTAAACTTTCCGCTCTGTGCGCGCTAAGAAGGTTTTTCTTCAGTCTCATTATGGGTTTGGACAGACCCACAGCGGGAGTGACCACATGATGAGGGACCAATTACCGGAACGGATTACCTTCTGAAAAATTTTTAGGTTTTTTAGATCGTCCAGATATGATTCCGGGCTTCCGGAGAGATAGGGTAACGCCCTATCTCCTCGGCCATTCAGCCGTCTATTGTACGAATGTTGTTGAATAAACTGATTGCAAAACAAGCAATTATTTATTGCGACAATGCCGGGCTACAATTTCTAATCATATTTTAAATTTATTTAGTTTAAAATATATTCTTTCCACTTCATGTTAATTAATAGTGTGTTGCCCCCGTACATCATTATTTTCCCGACAACAACAGAGTCGTGCCGACCATCTAACTAACACTTTTCGGGAGAAAATTTTTGAATTGAAATAACGTGATTTCCGGTTTGATCGGAAGTTCGTACATAATTAATCTATCTAACTCTAGACAGACAGACGGACGATAATGGAAATTTGAAAAGAAAATGCAGCCAAACAAGCGTTAATCAAATACTTGATCTAAAAAGGGAATCCAAAATAAAATAAGTTTATTAATGCTTAATTAATTTGCTAATTTTTAAAAATAGTATTTAATATTTTATATAAATATAAATATGTAATCCATATTTAAAAAAAAAATTGGATAAAATTAATATCCACCACTAGAGGGCCTTTTATCGCTTGCTGTTAGTTAGCTCGTGTTCAGGATCTTGTAGTTAGAGTTTTATATAACCTTAGGTGAATAGAAAGTAAATAAATGGCTCCTTCAACTCAAACAGCAAACGAGTCGCACGCGAAAGGAATTAATGCAGTCCTACTCGGGCCACCTGGAGCTGGTAAAGGGACGCAGGTCTGAATTACACTTCATTATATAAATTTATCAAAATCTGTAATCAGCAACGACTGAATATGTTCTTATGTTTATGGTATTTTCGCCTTGCCAAGTACAGTCGATCCCCATATAACACTGTTGATTATTTCGTTTTATATGAATTTCATGTTGTACGAGTCACTTTGATTTTTACAAATACGTGAACCGTTCGCAGCATGGCACACGTATTTGTAAAATCTAAGTGACTCGTACAACATGGAATTCATATAAAACGGAATAATCAACAGTGTTATAGGGGGGGTCGACTCTTGTTTTTCAATATGAATGTCAATATCAAGATTTTGTTTATCAAATGATTGCAGTAATGTCAATCATTTGTTTGGTTAATTAAAAACAAAAATAATTATCAGTACTGTCACCATGTTTTGGCACTGGTTTCTCAAACAAACAGTTTGTTATTTATTAGAGGGTTGGCAACCTGTGGAACAATTCGTAATGGTGTGCAGTGTAGTAAAATGACACTTAAATAGTATGTTCGTAGTCTCCAATGATTCAAATCTCTGTCCTTCTTATTACTTCTGCGATGAATTCCTCTGCCTTGTAACTATGTTGGACTAATGTCGAACCTGTTAAATGGAATTTAACGTCAACTATGAGTTAGCATCGTCAGTTTTTGATGTCTGGCAGAAACACTTTGCAGTTGAACTTCCATATTTTTCTGTAGAACATTGAAGACACTTTTTTTACATTTAAAAATGTCTCTATTTAATGTTTTGATTTGTTTATATTTTAACAAAGTTTATGTTTTAATAGCACGCCAAGATATGGTTAATGTCCAGATACGTGGACCGTCATGGCGGCACTTCCTGTTTCAGCCTCGAAACCAGACGGTTTGCAGACGACGTGTCACGTGATGCACCGACGCACGTTCTAACCTAACCTAACCTATTCTAATAAATTAGCATAATTATTACCAATTATATTATTAGAATAGGTTAGGTTAGGTTAGAATGTGCGTCCCCACTGTTTCCTTTTCTTTGCTGGAATCAGCGATGAGGCGCCATGACAGCCGCCGCCGTTCGCTCGTGTCGTCACGTGACACGTCGTCTGCAAACCGTCTGGTTTCGAGGCTGAAACAGGAAGTGCCGCCATGACGGTCCACGTATCTGGACATTAACCCAAGATATATATCTCGGAGTAATGTTGATTAGATCCCTCGCCTATGACCGACATCTATGGTATACTGCTGCCAAATTAAAAAGTTGTAATAACGCTATGTACTATAGTCTTAGTTCCTGTTTAATTCTATGCCAAATACTATTTTTAAATGTGTGGCTAAGTAATGTACACACTTGCTGATACCTAGATACAAGAGGCCTTATTATCATTGGTATTTTCATGTGGAAACCTTGTAAGTGCCAAAAATCAAATTTTGTGGGAGCAACAAAAGGCAATTAATATTGTTTATGATAGTGCAAGATTTTCCTGTGTGTAGATTCATTATAAGTTGTAGTCATTTAATTACTAGATTTACTACTGATTATACTCTGTAATAGAAAGAAAAGATTGTCATTTATGATATCAGAAAGAAAATCTCATAAATGAGCTTATTACAAGTAACGGTACATCCTGTTCTATTGGTTGAATGTTTTTGAGATTCTTGTGCAACTTACATACTCCAAGGTCCTGCACAACTGTGATAAAATTTATCTGACTCTTAGTGGCATTTACAAGGTCCCTGTATTCTCTTGGCTTCTAATGCTCTTTAACACCATCCCACCTCAATTACAAGCCATGCCTTAGCTAGGCTATGATTAGAATTGTTCGAAATAATTTTGGTCCTTGAAACAGGCCTAAGAACAGTGCTAATGTAGTTATATTTCTATAAACATTATAATGACTTTTTATATTCTTTCTAATTTAATCCAAGGCCTCTCTGCCTCATCTATTGCACAGTTCTGGCTCTGGTCTAGTATTTTAAAAAAACAGTTCTCTCCATGTACAAGTATACAGGTATTCACTAATTTGTTTAGATCAGATTGAAATTGTCTTTTATGGAAAACAACCATTGAAATGAGTTAATCTTTATATCCTCATGGCTGCTTGGTAAGATGAATGATCTGCTTCACCTCATGGTAATGTATATATCACTGATCTCACTACCAAGCCTGTCAGGTTTTGATTTTCCATGCTAGGTGAACTTAATTGCATTTTCTATGGGCACAGCAGAAAAACTTCCAACCTATATAAATGAGTTTGTATTAAATTCCATTTTATGACTATAAGAATGTGAACTAAACTCTCTTTGTCTTGTTAAGGACTGCCTTTTTACATGCATTTATTAGATAGACATTAGATAGCTTCCTCACTGCAGTTCCAGATGCTATCAAGTGAATTCAGGACTTTGATATACCACTCTGAGGGAAGTTTGTATTTGAATTTTTATATATCATTCAATAGATAAAATAACTCACTTTTTATGGTTTATGAAATTTCATCATATGCTAAATAAACATTGGTATGATTGTTAAGTAGCCTTATAAATGCTCATTAACTGAAAAAGCAAGTGGTATGTTAAAATCAATAAATACATTAAAAACTGCAATTATTTACCTATAGAATGACCTGTTGATAGTTCTCATGGCTTCCTTGTGGATGGCAGAACAAGTTGTTGATCACGGCTGAAATTCTGAATGTGTGTGTATGCTGGAGGAGCAGAGAAATAGAACAGCCCTTTAGCAAAAAAAAAAAAATTCAGCCAAATTTACCAGGAACTGCTTTTGTGTATGATGAAAACACAATGTTAAGACAAGTGAGTGAGTGGTAACACAGATTTACATATGTTGCAATTGTATGCAGGAAAAAAACCCACTGTCATAAATGTGTACTAGGACTGTGGAGTCTCAGTTGGATGCAAATTTGTTACTAGAGGAGTTGAAATTTTTAAAAATTGATAAATTTGGACTCCTGTTTTTTTATTTACTTTATATTAAGCTCCTAATAGGAACATTAACCACTTATCTTGCATTGTAAGAGTCTCCTATAATGCAAGATCTTATTTTATGATGATTTCCCTACTTTGTGATATTTTTTTGCATATCACTGAGTATTGTTGATTTTCTTTTTATAAATTTATATTTGAATACAATTCTGTATTAGCTAATTCTAAATTTTTAGTATTAAAAAACCAACAAAAGATACGAGATACAAAATAGCTAAGACAGCTCAGGTTAAATCTAATGTTTTTGAACCTATAACCACAGATGGAAAACATTTTGTATTCATTGTGTGGTTGAAGATGATAATATTGGTGATAATGAAAAAATGTGAAAAAGATAAGTACAGTACTTTAACTTTCAATAGGAATGCTAAACTTCTCATAGCAGTGGTTGCCGACCTTATGAACTACTAAACTCACAATTTTGAATACCGTGGACCACTATTGTGATATATTTTTTAAACCTTACAAGTTTTATTTTACTTTATTAATATGAAATTCACTTGTTTAATTATAAATTACTGTGAAATTTGTTGTTGCTTGTTTGAAATAAGTTTATGACTTCTTGACTCTTTTCCATGAAGGGTAAAGTCACACTTTATTTATTGATTTATTCACATTATTTATTGATAACAGTCATTTTTGTTTGGTTTTAGATTCAAATAAAAATCAACTAAGCACTTTGCATTTCTTTTGTAATACTTAGCATAACCTTCAGTTGATCAATATCCAAATTCTTCCATGGATGACCAAAATTTTCTCGCAGACCACCAGTTGGCTATTGCTGCTCTACAGGGAACTGTATTATTAATGTGTAATATCCTTTATAAGCTGAATTCAACATGTTTATAATTATTCTTTAATTAACTCCAAAGTGTACATTTGAAGAGGGGTTAAAAGACTTTCACTGTTTATAGAACTATTCATATTATTATTTAAACGTTATTTAAATAAATTATTGAAAAAATGATGTTTTGAAATTATTTTAATTGGACATCAGAAATGTTTCAGGAAATGAGTATAAAAGTTGAATCATCACTCATTTTTCAAAATACCAGTAATGTCATTATTTCATTTAAATAAAATATTGTCTTTGTAATATGTAAAGATTATAACATACATTTACAATTGCTAATGGAACAGATGAAGTAAATGAATCTATATACAATATATAGGTTTTGATACATCAAATGCTATTCAAAAAGCTATAAAATCTGAATGGAATACTGCTCTTCTTTAATTAATATTTTTTCCTCTAAAACAAAAGATTATATATATATTATATAGACAGGACATTTCAAAAGGTCAGCTAAACAGGAGGCAAGAAAGGATTTTGTGTAAATGTACAGAAAGTTCTCTTCTATTTACTATGGTTTAATAAGACAGCACTTTTATGTGATCATTTCAATTATTAACAATTGAATAATAAGCAGATACATGCTGCATGTTAACAAGAGCAAAAGTACTTTATCAAAACAAGCTGCCTGACTAGGTTTGATAATGAAGCAGTTATTAAAAATGCTCTCTCTTAATAAGCAAGCACATTTTAGTATGATAATGAACTGAATGTTGAATGTTGTCCAATAGCTGTTGCTGCATACTTTGAGACTATAGCCCTTGGTTAAACTTTCTCTGTTTTTCTGTCACAAGGGATTTACTTCTCTGCACCACTCCAGGAGCTGGCAAGCTCAGATGACATATTTGAGTTAGCTGACTCGATATGCTGCTATTCCTTTTTCTTCTTTGAAAGTACTGCATATAGGTAAAAGACATTCCTGTAGACTGCTATGTGATTGGATTGCTATCTAAATTAGTGAAATGTTACTTGGGAAGGAAAATATTCCCATTATTATATTAAAGGTAAATTGATGAGATCTTTTGGTATCAGAAACCAGACATCTCAGACTTCTTGTGAAGGATGGATGACAATATTTGTGGGTTTAAATTGGAGCAGGATGGTAACAGCAATGAATATTTTTCAGATATACTTGGTGGAAATTCAAAAATAATGGGGAAAAATTCAGAAATAATTGTATTTATTTTAACAACTTCATATTTTAATCTCCTTCAAAATACTCTCCATTAGCAATTGTCCAAATGTTTTTTCTATTGTTCAAAACACCTAGATAATTCCTGTTCTGAAATCTCTCTTAGTGCCTCCATCAAGCAAAGCTTCCAACTTTAAACAATAGCAATAAGATGTTAAAAGAATTTATTGCATTTATGTAAATTTGTAAAAAGAAACAATAATAAATGCAGAAAATGTCACATCATGCCAGAAACTATACAATACATCACTTCTGGTTGCAAGCTCTTGGCACAGACATTTTATTTACACAGACATAATCAAGTAGCAAATATAATACATCAAAGCTTGCAAACAAATACAAGTTATTAGACATCTATGAACCATACTACAAATACATTCCACAGACATTATTGGAAAACAAAATGCACTACGACAGAGCCATAATCACAGACGTCTTACTCATTGACAAACACAATAAAATCACATATGTTATAGACATATTCATTCCAAACATTCATACAAAACACATGCACTGAAAAAAATCAGCAAGTATACAGAGCTCTCCCAGAAAATAAGGCATCTGTGGAGGATGGATAGGGTGCTTATTTATCTTTTGTTCTATCTACAGGTGTCATACCATACATACACTACACAAAACCTGGGAACATTACTGTTGAATAGAAACACACACATTACACTACAGATGGCTATATTAAATACATGTTATATTATTAGGAAATTCCTGAGTACAGACACACAGACGCTGACATTTATTTAATTTTTGGTTGCTATGCCTTGACTGGTCCGGCATAGTACACAGCAACTGGTATCAACATAATAATAATAATAATTTAATAGAAATCAAGAAAAGTATGAAGCTCTGCCTGCATATTCCTATAAGAAATAATGTAAAATGGCAATTTTTTCATTAAAATGTTGCTATTTCAATTAAAATTGTTTGTTTATTAGCTAACTATAATCGTTGCAGAATTATCAGTCATTCGAATCCTCTTGATTTTTCCTTAAATCTCGAAATTAGATTAATTTATAAATATAATAATTTTTATTTTCTGATAATTCAAATTAAATTTTATATGAATTTTAATAAATTTTATAAATGTTTTTTTTTTAAAAATTTTGACAATATACTATTTTTAAATGTAACCTCAAACATATTTAAAAGCCATATTATTTTTGGATTACAATTAAACTAATTGTTAATTAATTAAATTATGAAATTTTGCTTGAAGATAGGTTTAACCTTTTGTTTTCAGGCTAAATTCTATAATGTAATTAATTAGAAATTAATTTATGCCAGAAAATAATCCAGTTTTTAAACATGTTTGGCTATTTAAAATTGTGCTCTAGTTTTTTGTATGTTTATATTTATAACTATAAATTAAGTAATTTTTATTGCAGTAAATTGTATTATGAATTATTTATATATGAAATTTATTAATTTAAAAATAAGTTCTCTAATTGTTTAATCTTTAGGTAATCTTTCAGCATGTTATCCTTCTATACGTATACAGGATTATTAATGTTTTTGGTTTCAAAATGCATTAATTATTAATAAAATGCCAGTCTATTAATTTATATATTGCAAATAGAAATAATTTGAAAGACTTCTTCATATAAGTGGTAGAGTAAAAAATAAACTAAAGTTTTAATATAACTTTATTAGTCATTGGAGGATTTACAGAAGACTGAAGTAAACACTTCAGCAGCTACACGTTTCTGCCAGCAAATGTTTACGAATGTCTTTTAAGATTTTTCGTCACATTGTTTTTTCCTGATTCTGCAAAATCTGCAACCATTCAGTATAGCTTTCATTTTGGTAAAGAGACGAAAGTTTGTGCCAAAATAAAAACTTAAGAGTCGGCTTAAAATGGCAGAAAAATGCCGTGGATTACACTTTCGCACTCAGAGTTAACGAAGAATGGATTGCAAGACTGTTTTAATAAATGGTGTGAACATTGGGGGAAGTACGTAGCTACAAGAGGTGCTTATTTTGAAGGTACTCTGTAAATACTTAAAACTATTAATGTAATAAAGCTATGTTAAAAATTCAGTTTTATTTCTGACTCTACCATGTAGAAAGGCGACTGAAAAAGTGGGAATTAATGAATTATATAAATTATATAAAAAGAAAATTGAATTAGATAACATGTTAAAAGAAAGCAAATCTTTAATTTTTTGATTTTTGTTATTAATTTTTATTTTATTGATTTAAATTGCTTTAAATACAGGCTCCCAAATTGAGAGATTATTATAATGTCTGTCATTTGGCTACAGGTAATAATTTTAATATGAAATGTAGAATTAAATTTTTTTGTTTGTTTAAAATGTTTTATTGGCTAGATATTAAATTCTAAAACTTTAAATGCAAATTTAAAATTATTTATGTTAATTATTTATTAAACTTATATAATTTGTGTAAAATTTATTAAATACAATGAATAAGTATTATGCAAAGACAAAAAATAGTTTAATGTGAAAATTGTCAAGGAGATAATTTATATTACAATAAGTATTAATAATTCACAAATGTTTATCTTTAATATAAGTGCTATATTATTTGAAAAATATATTTTTATTACCGATATATTTCCAATTTCAAAATTTATAACAGACGTACACTTAATATTATCGCTTATTTAGCAGGCAATAAGTTTTATTTATGCCGATCAGATGTGATACTGCTCACTGCTTTGAGGAATCAAAGTTTAAATCTGACCTAAATCTAGAGTTTACATCTGTCCTTATTTGGTAAGGACAGTCCTTACTTCAGTTGCAGTGTCCTTCTGTCCTTATTTAGTGATAAAATGTCCTTTCTAACATCAAAATGGATAGGGAAAACTAAAAGAAATATTGCTGTAGGACGACAAGTAGAATCTGAATGCGATTTTTCTGGCGGTAATTGGTTGAATACTTTGTCTTCCTTAAACTTGAGAAGTTTCGAGCCTGTGCTGTTGCTAAAACCAGCAATTCTAACTTGGAAATAAAGAATTAACACTAATAACTTCTAATAAGTTATCTTAATTTTAGGAAATTACACTATTATTACTCAAGAAAATTATTACAAAAATTTCAACCCCTTCTTTTCATTCATTTAGCTTCTTGTTTGGTATATTGTGCTAAAAAGTTTCAGCAACCTAATATTTTTTTCTATTGTTTCTCTTTTGCTAAGTATTCTGGCAGCTCTATCTTTTTGGAGTGTTTTTTTCGTTGTTGTGGGAAACAGAGGAAAGAAAGCAATCATTTTTACATTAGCCTTATTCAATCAGAATTGTTACATAAAGAAAATTGGCAATGTTTCAAAAGTATAATGAAAAATGATATAGATTTATTGATATCTACAAAGTCAAACTGACAAGTTGAGTGAATAAATAACAATGTAAAGAGTTGGTTTATTATTATAATAATACCTGTAGGTAATTACTCAGTAAATAAAATACTCCTATAATACATAATTGGGCTGCAATTTGAAAAAGTTTCCACTATAGACCTATAAATTCTCACTGTCATCTGTCTCCTTAATGTCAAAAATGGAGTTAGATAGATGAAAGACAAGACTAGATATGGAAACTTTAGGGGCAGAAGGCTCTAATTTAACTACATGCAAACTTCTGATACAAACCAGAGGTCATGTTAGTTCATTTCAAAAATTTCCCTTAAAAGCAGTTAGAATAGTCATGCCAGTCATTTATCTAACAGGAAAAGTACGATGTATGGGGACAAGACATTACAGTACTAATATGAGGTGGAAAGCATATATTTCAATCAGAATTTGAAATAAATTAAAAATACGATTAAAAATTTCAGCTCAGCATTGTGACAATGTTACAATAAAATAATTGTTCATTGTTCTTTAGTTTTATATTCCTACATATATATGTACCATTTTCTCTTAATTGTCCATTTATATTACTTAGTGTTTCTCAACCATATTATAGAAAAGCTTATAAAAAGAGCTTTTCTGGGAAATGTTATAAAATATTCCTTGAAAGTTTTTTGCTTGTGGAATAATTATGTTCCCTGCAGTTGGTTTTCTCCACATAAATTGTTATAATATTCAAAAGTGTGTATGTTTATATAATCTGTTTTTCTCAGATCTGTGAGAAACACACTTCTAGACTTGAAGAAAGTATTTAAATATTATTTAGTTTATTGTCATATTTCAAGACCCTGACTGTGATCGCGTGATCAGATTCCATATTAGTTCCAAGTTCTAGACTCAAGCTGTCTATTCTTCTCCCTTTCTTGGAGAAGTTTCTTTACTGGAATCACTGAGGCATGTCCTCATGTCAACTTGTCTTCCTGACCAACAGATTTTATGCATCCCCTTTGTCATGCTTTTTCTTGTTTTATTCAAACCTCTGGTCACCAGACAAACTACTCTGACCCCTGGAATGATGATATTTGGTTTAAAGGATTACTATCACGGGGTCAAAGGCACTGACTACCACCTCCACTCTTTACTTTTTACTGGAGAAGTTTTCAGGGACAATAAACCCAGTTTTTTTTTGTGTTACTAGTCTTAACATATAGTCATTATCAGTTACTGATTATCATTATCTTAACCAATAATTTAAATGTAAAATGTTTAATTAAAAACATTTTACAATTAAATTATGTTGTGACTCAGTAATTTAAATTACTGAATTACTGGCATTCAGTTATATGCTAGTTGATCAAGATGATGATGTAAAAAAACTGTAGGAAAGAACACTTGATGAATCATTATTAATTAATAAATCTTCAATTTAGAAAGTTTTAATTGTTTAACATGTCCTTTTAATATTAGAACCAATGAAACTAGAATATACACTAATTATAGTCTCATTTACCCCACTTAACGTTATGAAATTGGTTATTATGATTGGTTGAGGAGAGCCCAAAAGTGATTACAGTAAGCAAAGTTCATTGTTTTCTATGTTTTGCGATGGTACACTTTTCCTAAAGACGGACTTATCACACTGGATCAAACATTGAACAGAATGACCTTCAGACACACAATTTGCAGAATAATTCTATGTATTTATTTCATGATATACATTTTGGACATAACATCCCTCTTCGGTCCTAATACACAGATCATTTTTTTTTAAATCTACTAACAACTTCCCTCCTACTCAAGCAATATAGATGTGTAAGAGGAAAGTTATCAGTAAATTCTTTTAGAATGTAATTCTACTGTGAATTCATTATGATTTCATCAGTTTTTATGGAGGTTGTGTTGAATTGTACAAATTTTCATTCAAGTTTATGTCGTGGTTAAAATGTTCTTATTTGGTGGAATTTTGTTGTTGTGAAGTTTTTATTATAAAATTTATAATGTGTACACACACGCCTACAAATTCTAAAAAAAAAAAGGATCTGTGTATTAGGACCGAAGAGGGATGTTATGTCCAAAATGTGTATCATGAAATAAATACATAAAATTATTCTGCAAATTACATTTCTGAAGGTCATTCCGTTTCTTGTTTGGTCCAGTGTGATAAGTCCGTCTTTTAGGAAAAGTGCGCTATGAGAAAACATGCAAAATAGGACAATGGAAAAAAGCAATCAGAAGTTCATTGTATTAAGTTTTAGACATTATACATTTCTTATTTTATGATTAACTTTTAGTTAAATGATATTTTTATATGTAATTACTTCTGTAATTTTATAAAGATCAGTAATTTTTTTTTAGATATAATTTTTGCGAAAAAGTTGTTCCTAACTTTGAGTTTATTATCTTAAATTTAAATGTTTTAATTATTTTAAAAATAATTACTAGTAAAAAATTTTACAGGTGATATGCTTCGAGCCGAAGTAGCATCGGGATCTGATTTAGGAAAAACGTTAAAAAAAGTAATGGACGATGGAAAATTAGTTAGCGATGATTTAGTTACAGATTTAATAAACAGAAACTTGGATAAGTCCGATTGTCAAAATGGATTTTTATTGGATGGGTTTCCAAGGACTGTTGTTCAAGCAGAAAAGGCAAGTAAATTAAAACTTTCATTGTTCGTATAATATGATTTTAAGTAGCCAATGAAATGCAATTAAAATAGAATTTTTGTCATAATAAAATTAATGAAAATAAAATAGTTTATTCAAGTTTAATTTTAAGGGTAAAAAAAATATGCCATAAAACGATTTACGGTTCTCATTTTTACAAAATTTATTTTTAGTTGGATGAACTGTTGGAGAAACGTAATTCAAAATTAGATTCGGTTATAGAATTTAGTATTGATGATTCGGTGCTTGTTCGTCGTATCACTGGAAGATTAATTCATGTTCCAAGTGGTAGAAGTTATCATGAAGAATTTAATCCACCAAAGAAACATATGGTCGATGATGTAAGTAACTTATTTTAGAATGTGATATTTTTATTGAGACAGATTATACAATATTTTACAACTGTACAGAACAGCACAGGATTCACACTTTGATGAATGTCCCCATTATATTTTTTATATGTAGCCTACTTGTTATATTTAATAATTAATCAACTTAGCTCTCTTTTTGATGAGTATCCAGGAATGATCCCATAGAATGTAAACGCCAATTTTATACTTTTCATTAGAACAATTTCTGCCTAACATCATCATCATTTATTGATAGCTGACATTCATTGAAGTAGTTTACATGCTGCTGATGCCAAGTGCTCTTGCAGTGTATGAAAAGAAATAACTTTACCTTTCTTTTTCACATATACCAAACTCCCAATTATCCATGCTAATTAGTGCACAAGTGTTCATGTAAAAGTGGAAAGTATGGATAATTCAAAATAGCCCTCTAAACTGTATTACTGTAAACTGTAAACTATTCAGAGGTTTTACTCGTAAATGAAATACAGTATATATATAGCTCAACTCTGTTATAATGCGATGCAAGTATGAGTCTCAAATTTCATAAGATGAAATGGATACAAGTGTTCCTCTACTTATAAACAGATTATGTTTTTGAGGTTAGAAAAAAGTAATCTGTTTTGAGAAAGACTTGTTCTGTTCATATATGCGATCTGAATGAATCGCGCACAATATTATGTTCATCGTGTTCAGTGAGAGTTCATAAGAATTGTTATCAGGGCATTGGAGGGATTTGTAAAGACATTAGTGACATTTATGTTTGCAACACTTTCAAAAGACAAGAAAAATTGCAGAGGAACGTCAAAAATAACACAGAGGCCAGAAAAGAGCAGCAGAAAAATGATTGAAATTATTACAAATAAACTAAAAACAGTTGAAGTTGGGGACTTTATTGAACATTCGAAAGGTTGACCAAGGCCATTAGACTGCCAAAATGTAATAGGAAAAATTCTTCTTGCAAAAAATGTTTATCAAATTAGAACAAAGGGTGGCATAATTAAGACCTGTTTCAGTAGAAGTGATTTCCAGATTTCTGGGATGCAAATTCTTGAAGACATTCCAGAAAAATATGTATCTCTATGTGAAGCTGTGGGGAAAGAATCAAAATTTGGTGGACAAGGATTTGCCAGTTGTAAGTGCATAGTGTCAAAAAAAAAAAAGTTCACATGTAAGAAGGTAAATCAATTGTGCACATCAAAATTTCACAGCAGTTCATCATGTGCAAATAAATAAATGGAATGTTTGTGCCCTAAGTGAAACTGTAAATCAGTATTTTTCATTTTTACTAATTATTATACTATTTTTTTAACAATTAACTTTGAACAAAAGTCTTCTAGAAATTTAATATTATTTTCATAAAAGTTCAGTATTATTAATTTTTGATATAACAGTGTTACTCCATATTATTCATTGTCATATCACATATGAGTATATTCAAGCTTTGTATATATTGTAATTAATCATTATTTTTTCCAATTAAAATTATTATTCATTATTCTTCATTATTAATTTATATCAGGGATGTCCAACCTGCAGGCTGCACCCTAAATTTTTTAGGAACATTTTCATTTATTTTGGTAAAGTATGTTGTAAAAATTATTCTTGTTTCACTGGATACACTTTGATGTCGTAATGAGGTAATTGATGCTAGAAAACTGTACTACTTCACAAGAATAACATACTGTTGTGAACAATTCTTTTCATGCATGAAAAACATAAAAACTGCTGAAAGACATAGGTTGGATGATTCCCATTAAACTAACAGTCTTAGAATTAAGACGTGCAATAAAAGCAGATATTGACAATATTATAAAAGGAACACAATGTCAAAAAATCGCATTGAATTTATTTTTATATTGTGTGAGTATAATTTTTTTTACTGTCAATAATACAGTATTTTATGTAATTATATATACAGTATTTGTTATTAAAATTTGATATTCACGTTTTGAACGTTTTAAAAGCATATATTTATATAAAGTACCTTTTTGGCCCGCGGAGTATATGTAAATTTCTAATTTGGCCCATTAGGAAAAAAGGTTGGATATCCCTGATTTATATTATTAATTTCTTTTATCATTATGTTGTATTATGTTAATTATTTTAAGGTTACTTTACAATAATAATCTTTCTTAGACATCTGTCTGCTGTTTGTCTAATAAGTCTTTTGTGTCTTCAGAATATTACAATAAGCCTAGAATCAATCGGGCTAATTGAACCAACTTAAGTTCACTTTCTTAATTGCTTAAAGCTCTGTGGGCTGATTACAAAATGCCTAAGTAATTTTACACTGAATAGCAAATACATAATGATTTTCCTATTTGCCAGGTTCATTGTAAAATGACGGTGGAAAATCAGGTACAATGAGCCTGATTATCAAATTTGCCTACGACATATACACCAGATAATACTAAAATAGATTGAGAGTTCTATATGAATTAATAACTGGGCCAAGGAGAAATTGGGTGTATGAATCATACTTCCAAATAAGAGAGACTAACTTTAATGAAATGTTGTTGATTAGATTCCCATCCAAAAAAGATATGATGTTTGCTACTAACAACTGGTACAAATTTTACAAGAATTTTGCCATTTCTTGCCACTGATCTATATCTCTAAGAAGGAATTGAAACTGCCTAATCACTACCTAAAGTTTTGTAGCATACACAATTAATTTTCCTATTCATAAGATTTACTTATTTTTATAAAATCTTTACACACACAATTTTAAGTAAAATGAATTTTAAAATTATAAATTTGTTGTAGATTACTGGTGAGCCTCTAATACGAAGATCGGATGATAACGTTACAGCTCTGAAGAAAAGATTAGACTCCTATCATAAACAAACTCAACCATTAGTAGATTATTATTCCAAAAAACACTTACATACACAAATAAATGCAGACCAAAATCCTAATTTAGTATTTTCTCAGATACAGCTAGCTTTTTCTAAAGCAAAGACTAAAGATTTAGTTTTCTTTGTATAATAATAATAATAATAATAATTTTCTTATATATATTTGGTACAAAATTATACTCTTTCATTGGAAATACTTTACAAAATATAATAATTATTATTATAACAAGGTTAATATTGACACGATGATTGGTTTTTACAAAATTATACATTATAAAATTATTTCTTTACAATTTGACAATTTAATGAGTTTTTTTAATATAATTTTTTTATTAAAAAGTTCAAAGTTTTTAAATAAAAAAAATATTATATTGTTTCAATGTTAAATTTATAAACAAAAATTTTTGTAAATATGGCAGATTTTTCATAAATTTTAATTACTGTTTGCGCTCTTCAATTATGGCAAAAAATATTAGTCTATAGGTTACTGTTAATCAATTATTATAAATTTCTGTTAGTATATAATTATTGATTTAACAATTTAAAACATTAAAAGAAAAAAATAAAGAAATATTGTTATTCAGAAAAGTATGTTGTTTATTGTGTTTATACTCTGTGCAGGATAAAGCTGCTGTCTGTAATAACATATTCAATTATTTAATTTTGATAATTCTGTTGAAATATTTTGTNCCTTCTATACGTATACAGGATTATTAATGTTTTTGGTTTCAAAATGCATTAATTATTAATAAAATGCCAGTCTATTAATTTATATATTGCAAATATAAATAATTTGAAAGACTTCTTCATATAAGTGGTAGAGTAAAAAATAAACTAAAGTTTTAATATAACTTTATTAGTCATTGGAGGATTTACAGAAGACTGAAGTAAACACTTCAGCAGCTACACGTTTCTGCCAGCAAATGTTTACGAATGTCTTTTAAGATTTTTCGTCACATTGTTTTTTCCTGATTCTGCAAAATCTGCAACCATTCAGTATAGCTTTCATTTTGGTAAAGAGACGAAAGTTTGTGCCAAAATAAAAACTTAAGAGTCGGCTTAAAATGGCAGAAAAATGCCGTGGATTACACTTTCGCACTCAGAGTTAACGAAGAATGGATTGCAAGACTGTTTTAATAAATGGTGTGAACATTGGGGGAAGTACGTAGCTACAAGAGGTGCTTATTTTGAAGGTACTCTGTAAATACTTAAAACTATTAATGTAATAAAGCTATGTTAAAAATTCAGTTTTATTTCTGACTCTACCATGTAGAAAGGCGACTGAAAAAGTGGGAATTAATGAATTAATTATAAATATCTGTGTAGTTATATAAAAAGAAAATTGAATTAGATAACATGTTAAAAGAAAGCAAATCTTTAATTTTTTGATTTTTGTTATTAATTTTTATTTTATTGATTTAAATTGCTTTAAATACAGGCTCCCAAATTGAGAGATTATTATAATGTCTGTCATTTGGCTACAGGTAATAATTTTAATATGAAATGTAGAATTAAATTTTTTTGTTTGTTTAAAATGTTTTATTGGCTAGATATTAAATTCTAAAACTTTAAATGCAAATTTAAAATTATTTATGTTAATTATTTATTAAACTTATATAATTTGTGTAAAATTTATTAAATACAATGAATAAGTATTATGCAAAGACAAAAAATAGTTTAATGTGAAAATTGTCAAGGAGATAATTTATATTACAATAAGTATTAATAATTCACAAATGTTTATCTTTAATATAAGTGCTATATTATTCGAAAGATATATTTTTATTACCGATATATTTCCAATTTCAAAATTTATAACAGACGTACACTTAATATTATCGCTTATTTAGCAGGCAATAAGTTTTATTTATGCCGATCAGATGTGATACTGCTCACTGCTTTGAGGAATCAAAGTTTAAATCTGACCTAAATCTAGAGTTTACATCTGTCCTTATTTGGTAAGGACAGTCCTTACTTCAGTTGCAGTGTCCTTCTGTCCTTATTTAGTGATAAAATGTCCTTTCTAACATCAAAATGGATAGGGAAAACTAAAAGAAATATTGCTGTAGGACGACAAGTAGAATCTGAATGCGATTTTTCTGGCGGTAATTGGTTGAATACTTTGTCTTCCTTAAACTTGAGAAGTTTCGAGCCTGTGCTGTTGCTAAAACCAGCAATTCTAACTTGGAAATAAAGAATTAACACTAATAACTTCTAATAAGTTATCTTAATTTTAGGAAATTACACTATTATTACTCAAGAAAATTATTACAAAAATTTCAACCCCTTCTTTTCATTCATTTAGCTTCTTGTTTGGTATATTGTGCTAAAAAGTTTCAGCAACCTAATATTATTTTCTATTGTTTCTCTTTTGCTAAGTATTCTGGCAGCTCTATCTTTTTGGAGTGTTTTTTTCGTTGTTGTGGGAAACAGAGGAAAGAAAGCAATCATTTTTACATTAGCCTTATTCAATCAGAATTGTTACATAAAGAAAATTGGCAATGTTTCAAAAGTATAATGAAAAATGATATAGATTTATTGATATCTACAAAGTCAAACTGACAAGTTGAGTGAATAAATAACAATGTAAAGAGTTGGTTTATTATTATAATAATACCTGTAGGTAATTACTCAGTAAATAAAATACTCCTATAATACATAATTGGGCTGCAATTTGAAAAAGTTTCCACTATAGACCTATAAATTCTCACTGTCATCTGTCTCCTTAATGTCAAAAATGGAGTTAGATAGATGAAAGACAAGACTAGATATGGAAACTTTAGGGGCAGAAGGCTCTAATTTAACTACATGCAAACTTCTGATACAAACCAGAGGTCATGTTAGTTCATTTCAAAAATTTCCCTTAAAAGCAGTTAGAATAGTCATGCCAGTCATTTATCTAACAGGAAAAGTACGATGTATGGGGACAAGACATTACAGTACTAATATGAGGTGGAAAGCATATATTTCAATCAGAATTTGAAATAAATTAAAAATACGATTAAAAATTTCAGCTCAGCATTGTGACAATGTTACAATAAAATAATTGTTCATTGTTCTTTAGTTTTATATTCCTACATATATATGTACCATTTTCTCTTAATTGTCCATTTATATTACTTAGTGTTTCTCAACCATATTATAGAAAAGCTTATAAAAAGAGCTTTTCTGGGAAATGTTATAAAATATTCCTTGAAAGTTTTTTGCTTGTGGAATAATTATGTTCCCTGCAGTTGGTTTTCTCCACATAAATTGTTATAATATTCAAAAGTGTGTATGTTTATATAATCTGTTTTTCTCAGATCTGTGAGAAACACACTTCTAGACTTGAAGAAAGTATTTAAATATTATTTAGTTTATTGTCATATTTCAAGACCCTGACTGTGATCGCGTGATCAGATTCCATATTAGTTCCNTTGTTCTGTTCATATATGCGATCTGAATGAATCGCGCACAATATTATGTTCATCGTGTTCAGTGAGAGTTCATAAGAATTGTTATCAGGGCATTGGAGGGATTTGTAAAGGTGAGAAACACACTTCTAGACTTGAAGAAAGTATTTAAATATTATTTAGTTTATTGTCATATTTCAAGACCCTGACTGTGATCGCGTGATCAGATTCCATATTAGTTCCAAGTTCTAGACTCAAGCTGTCTATTCTTCTCCCTTTCTTGGAGAAGTTTCTTTACTGGAATCACTGAGGCATGTCCTCATGTCAACTTGTCTTCCTGACCAACAGATTTTATGCATCCCCTTTGTCATGCTTTTTCTTGTTTTATTCAAACCTCTGGTCACCAGACAAACTACTCTGACCCCTGGAATGATGATATTTGGTTTAAAGGATTACTATCACGGGGTCAAAGGCACTGACTACCACCTCCACTCTTTACTTTTTACTGGAGAAGTTTTCAGGGACAATAAACCCAGTTTTTTTTTGTGTTACTAGTCTTAACATATAGTCATTATCAGTTACTGATTATCATTATCTTAACCAATAATTTAAATGTAAAATGTTTAATTAAAAACATTTTACAATTAAATTATGTTGTGACTCAGTAATTTAAATTACTGAATTACTGGCATTCAGTTATATGCTAGTTGATCAAGATGATGATGTAAAAAAACTGTAGGAAAGAACACTTGATGAATCATTATTAATTAATAAATCTTCAATTTAGAAAGTTTTAATTGTTTAACATGTCCTTTTAATATTAGAACCAATGAAACTAGAATATACATTAATTATAGTCTCATTTACCCCACTTAACGTTATGAAATTGGTTATTATGATTGGTTGAGGAGAGCCCAAAAGTGATTACAGTAAGCAAAGTTCATTGTTTTCTATGTTTTGCGATGGTACACTTTTCCTAAAGACGGACTTATCACACTGGATCAAACATTGAACAGAATGACCTTCAGACACACAATTTGCAGAATAATTCTATGTATTTATTTCATGATATACATTTTGGACATAACATCCCTCTTCGGTCCTAATACACAGATCATTTTTTTTTAAATCTACTAACAACTTCCCTCCTACTCAAGCAATATAGATGTGTAAGAGGAAAGTTATCAGTAAATTCTTTTAGAATGTAATTCTACTGTGAATTCATTATGATTTCATCAGTTTTTATGGAGGTTGTGTTGAATTGTACAAATTTTCATTCAAGTTTATGTCGTGGTTAAAATGTTCTTATTTGGTGGAATTTTGTTGTTGTGAAGTTTTTATTATAAAATTTATAATGTGTACACACACACCTACAAATTCTAAAAAAAAAAAGGATCTGTGTATTAGGACCGAAGAGGGATGTTATGTCCAAAATGTATATCATGAAATAAATACATAGAATTATTCTGCAAATTGTGTGTCTGAAGGTCATTCTGTTCAATGTTTGATCCAGTGTGATAAGTCCGTCTTTAGGAAAAGTGCACCATCGCAAAACATAGAAAACAATGAACTTTGCTTACTGTAATCACTTTTGGGCTCTCCTCAACCAATCATAATAACCAATTTCATAACGTTAAGTGGGGTAAATGAGACTATAATTAGTGTATATTCTAGTTTCATTGGTTCTAATATTAAAAGGACATGTTAAACAATTAAAACTTTCTAAATTGAAGATTTATTAATTAATAATGATTCATCAAGTGTTCTTTCCTACAGTTTTTTTACATCATCATCTTGATCAACTAGCATATAACTGAATGCCAGTAATTCAGTAATTTAAATTACTGAGTCACAACATAATTTAATTGTAAAATGTTTTTAATTAAACATTTTACATTTAAATTATTGGTTAAGATAATGATAATCAGTAACTGATAATGACTATATGTTAAGACTAGTAACACAAAAAAAAACTGGGTTTATTGTCCCTGAAAACTTCTCCAGTAAAAAGTAAAGAGTGGAGGTGGTAGTCAGTGCCTTTGACCCCGTGATAGTAATCCTTTAAACCAAATATCATCATTCCAGGGGTCAGAGTAGTTTGTCTGGTGACCAGAGGTTTGAATAAAACAAGAAAAAGCATGACAAAGGGGATGCATAAAATCTGTTGGTCAGGAAGACAAGTTGACATGAGGACATGCCTCAGTGATTCCAGTAAAGAAACTTCTCCAAGAAAGGAAGAAGAATAGACAGCTTGAGTCTAGAACTTGGAACTAATATGGAATCTGATCGCGCGATCACAGTCAGGGTCTTGAAATATGACAATAAACTAAATAATATTTAAATACTTTCTTCAAGTCTAGAAGTGTGTTTCTCACCTTTACAAATCCCTCCAATGCCCTGATAACAATTCTTATGAACTCTCACTGAACACGATGAACATAATATTGTGCGCGATTCATTCAGATCGCATATATGAACAGAACAAGTCTTTCTCAAAACAGATTACTTTTTTCTAACCTCAAAAACATAATCTGTTTATAAGTAGAGGAACACTTGTATTCATTTCATCTTATGAAATTTGAGACTCATACTTGCATCGCATTATAACAGAGTTGAGCTATATATATACTGTATTTCATTTACGAGTAAAACCTCTGAATAGTTTACAGTTTACAGTAATACAGTTTAGAGGGCTATTTTGAATTATCCATACTTTCCACTTTTACATGAACACTTGTGCACTAATTAGCATGGATAATTGGGAGTTTGGTATATGTGAAAAAGAAAGGTAAAGTTATTTCTTTTCATACACTGCAAGAGCACTTGGCATCAGCAGCATGTAAACTACTTCAATGAATGTCAGCTATCAATAAATGATGATGATGTTAGGCAGAAATTGTTCTAATGAAAAGTATAAAATTGGCGTTTACATTCTATGGGATCATTCCTGGATACTCATCAAAAAGAGAGCTAAGTTGATTAATTATTAAATATAACAAGTAGGCTACATATAAAAAATATAATGGGGACATTCATCAAAGTGTGAATCCTGTGCTGTTCTGTACAGTTGTAAAATATTGTATAATCTGTCTCAATAAAAATATCACATTCTAAAATAAGTTACTTACATCATCGACCATATGTTTCTTTGGTGGATTAAATTCTTCATGATAACTTCTACCACTTGGAACATGAATTAATCTTCCAGTGATACGACGAACAAGCACCGAATCATCAATACTAAATTCTATAACCGAATCTAATTTTGAATTACGTTTCTCCAACAGTTCATCCAACTAAAAATAAATTTTGTAAAAATGAGAACCGTAAATCGTTTTATGGCATATTTTTTTTACCCTTAAAATTAAACTTGAATAAACTATTTTATTTTCATTAATTTTATTATGACAAAAATTCTATTTTAATTGCATTTCATTGGCTACTTAAAATCATATTATACGAACAATGAAAGTTTTAATTTACTTGCCTTTTCTGCTTGAACAACAGTCCTTGGAAACCCATCCAATAAAAATCCATTTTGACAATCGGACTTATCCAAGTTTCTGTTTATTAAATCTGTAACTAAATCATCGCTAACTAATTTTCCATCGTCCATTACTTTTTTTAACGTTTTTCCTAAATCAGATCCCGATGCTACTTCGGCTCGAAGCATATCACCTGTAAAATTTTTTACTAGTAATTATTTTTAAAATAATTAAAACATTTAAATTTAAGATAATAAACTCAAAGTTAGGAACAACTTTTTCGCAAAAATTATATCTAAAAAAAAATTACTGATCTTTATAAAATTACAGAAGTAATTACATATAAAAATATCATTTAACTAAAAGTTAATCATAAAATAAGAAATGTATAATGTCTAAAACTTAATACAATGAACTTCTGATTGCTTTTTTCCATTGTCCTATTTTGCATGTTTTCTCATAGCGCACTTTTCCTAAAAGACGGACTTATCACACTGGACCAAACAAGAAACGGAATGACCTTCAGAAATGTAATTTGCAGAATAATTTTATGTATTTATTTCATGATATACATTTTGGACATAACATCCCTCTTCGGTCCTAATACACAGATCCTTTTTTTTTTTAGAATTTGTAGGTGTGTGTGTACACATTATAAATTTTATAATAAAAACTTCACAACAACAAAATTCCACCAAATAAGAACATTTTAACCACGACATAAACTTGAATGAAAATTTGTACAATTCAACACAACCTCCATAAAAACTGATGAAATCATAATGAATTCACAGTAGAATTACATTCTAAAAGAATTTACTGATAACTTTCCTCTTACACATCTATATTGCTTGAGTAGGAGGGAAGTTGTTAGTAGATTTAAAAAAAAATGATCTGTGTATTAGGACCGAAGAGGGATGTTATGTCCAAAATGTATATCATGAAATAAATACATAGAATTATTCTGCAAATTGTGTGTCTGAAGGTCATTCTGTTCAATGTTTGATCCAGTGTGATAAGTCCGTCTTTAGGAAAAGTGTACCATCGCAAAACATAGAAAACAATGAACTTTGCTTACTGTAATCACTTTTGGGCTCTCCTCAACCAATCATAATAACCAATTTCATAACGTTAAGTGGGGTAAATGAGACTATAATTAATGTATATTCTAGTTTCATTGGTTCTAATATTAAAAGGACATGTTAAACAATTAAAACTTTCTAAATTGAAGATTTATTAATTAATAATGATTCATCAAGTGTTCTTTCCTACAGTTTTTTTACATCATCATCTTGATCAACTAGCATATAACTGAATGCCAGTAATTCAGTAATTTAAATTACTGAGTCACAACATAATTTAATTGTAAAATGTTTTTAATTAAACATTTTACATTTAAATTATTGGTTAAGATAATGATAATCAGTAACTGATAATGACTATATGTTAAGACTAGTAACACAAAAAAAAACTGGGTTTATTGTCCCTGAAAACTTCTCCAGTAAAAAGTAAAGAGTGGAGGTGGTAGTCAGTGCCTTTGACCCCGTGATAGTAATCCTTTAAACCAAATATCATCATTCCAGGGGTCAGAGTAGTTTGTCTGGTGACCAGAGGTTTGAATAAAACAAGAAAAAGCATGACAAAGGGGATGCATAAAATCTGTTGGTCAGGAAGACAAGTTGACATGAGGACATGCCTCAGTGATTCCAGTAAAGAAACTTCTCCAAGAAAGGAAGAAGAATAGACAGCTTGAGTCTAGAACTTGGAACTAATATGGAATCTGATCACGCGATCACAGTCAGGGTCTTGAAATATGACAATAAACTAAATAATATTTAANAAAAAATAAAGAAATATTGTTATTCAGAAAAGTATGTTGTTTATTGTGTTTATACTCTGTGCAGGATAAAGCTGCTGTCTGTAATAACATATTCAATTATTTAATTTTGAGAATTCTGTTGAAATATTTTGTTAAGTTTTCTCTCTCTTGTGCTGTGTTGTAAAACTTAAACGGACTTTTAATTAAGTTAAATATATATATCTCAAGAAGAGTGCATTTCTTGAACTGACCAAAATATTGAAGATATCATCCTTGACTTCTTACATACTGCAAGCAGCAAGACATATCTTTTACAAAATAGCAACTGACAGTGTGAATGTGTTATCATCTTTGGTACTGCTCTGTAATGCTCCTCGCTGTTTTAAAACTAAGTGTAAAGGGCAGACTATTAGAAGTCAAATGCAGGAAGTTGTTCTGAATGTTTGTTCATACATTGAGGGAGCTAATCTGACCCTAAACATAGAAGCTACTGAAGAAACTGCAAGGTTGACCATCGTTTGGTGTTTCACCATCTTTGCTATGAAGAAGTAATGGAGTGTGACAGATGGAAAACTTTGGATACTAGGCCAAAAGAGACTTTGGAAATTGAGCAGCGACATGATGCCATATGTTGGGGATGGTGAACCTACGGCACGCGTGCCCAAAATGGCACTATAGAGAAATCATCTGGCACGTAACATATCATACGATTTTGATTAATCATCTGTCTTTTTCAATCACCCCAATTAATGTAAAAAAAGCTTATTGAGAACAATAAGCTATTTTTTTACATTTATTTTAATTAAAGCATATTCGTTTAATTTCTTTAAATATTGTTATTTGAAGTTTAAAACTTTGGCATGCATAAACATCTTTAAAGCTAAGTGTACTTACTATATGGCAGGCGGGATCAGAAAGGTTAGCCACCCCTGCCATATGTGATAGTTTTACTTACACTTACTATGAGGTATTGTATAAAAATATTTTTTCACAAATGAGCCACTAACATTAAACAAATTTGAACAATATAATAGTGATCCTGATTTGCCAATTATTTCCAAAAGATTACATAAAGTTTTGAAATAAATCAGCGTTGTTTATAATTGTCATAGAAAGGTGATAAACCAATAAACATGATATATCTAAGGGCACAAATCTCAAATTTAACAGTATCATTCAAAGAAAGATATTTTCACTTAATAAAACTTGGACAAATGCTGGCCATGCAATGTCAAGATGTTGGCAAGATAAAACTGCATTTTTGAAGGGCTTGTCATCTGAAAGAATTACTTACATCTTTTACACACATCCATGTAACACAAGCAGGCATAATATGTAATGAGGATATGTATTTCTGAAAAAAGCAACTGTTTTCCAAAGCCAAAACACACCACTCCGGTATTGTTTAGTGCACGAATCCCTTTTAAACTACACCTATTCCTCAGGCCGATCACGTGCACTTCGAAGAAGCGGTGTACATAAGAAAAAAAATACCGTCCCGAGGACGGGGTCAGGCCCGACAAGAGATTAAACATTCTGAATACTATGATGAAAAGTCTAGATCACTGTTCAAGGTTCCACTTAAGTATCCTAAACTTAAAGATAGTTCCATTCCAACGTTACTTCCAGATTGTCCCTTTGTATTCCTCATCTCACATTACTGTAAGAGAAGGACCAGAAGAAAAGCGAAAACATTTCGACACTTGGCATGTCTTTTATTATATCAATAAAATTGTTTTTGCAGATGTGCAGACAGATCCAAGTCCTTTAATAACAAAATCTGTTATAATCAATGAAAATTTATGGGTCAGTATATTTATTGGTAAAATTTCATTGAAAAAGTTAGATAATTTTAATTTTCCTCTACGTATAAATGGTATTAATATTCTTGAAATACAGAAAAAGTTAGAATATGTCAATGATTCAGATAGTGAAAACAATTCAATAGACCTTTCAGCTTCAGAGTAGCATTTCAACTGATGTATCAAATCTCAATTATTTGTCTGAACAGTTATCTGTCAACAAACATCAGTATAACTATGCTGCAGAACTTTTGATTTTATTTTGTTTACTGTTTTCTGTATCTCCTAATGCTTTACTTCATTCGTAAAATTTGCTCATTATTTAGTTTAAACTCTACAATTGAACAATTTGAAGAGAATTTTTTATTATATGCCAAAGATTTCAAACTTTAAGTTGACTGTAGTTTCATTATCTTTTAATGATGGATGAAATTCATCCGAAATCATATTTTGATTACACGGGTGGAAATATTGATGCAGGACACAATAGTAAACAACTTGATACAAGTGCTTATGTTTTTATGGCACAAAGTTTATCATCTAGGTATAGAGATGTTCATATATTACCCATTCATAAAATTACTGCCGAAGATTTGTTTTCATGCTTAAAAAAAATAATCTTTAGTTTAGAAGAAATTGGTTGTAAGGTAATTAATAGTGATGACAATGCTATTAATGGCAAGGCTGTTTTTTTTTTTTTTTACACAAATTCACCAACATTTGTAAACATGTTTTAGATCCTACAAGACCTTTGTTTTTTATATATGATTCTGTTCATTTAAAAATATAAGAAATAATTTGTTTTCCCAAAAAAAAATGATGGGAAGTTAATGAATTACATTGACTTTGGAAATAAAACTTCAATGAGAACTGCTTCATATATACAAGTAATTCTTCAAAAATTATAAGCTTTAGATAATGGACGTTTGATTAAATATGTATATGGATTATCGTTAAAAGCTTTGTCTCTAACTAATATAATATAAAATTTATACTTCAAATATTTAATGATTGTTCAAGGTTTGGAACATGATGAAAAACTGATTGCCACATCAGAGTATTTAAAAATAATATATTCTTGGAAGGTCAATAATGAATGTCAAAACTATATTTAAAGATGAGTATAAGAAAATAAATTTCGAGAACCACTAAAACTAATAGTGATGATGAAATTTTTTTTTTTTTGAACAATTTCATAGATTGGTTAGAAAAGTGGAAGAAAGCCAATTACAACACTGGAGTCTTAAGAAACACACGCTGCATTATTCCACATTACTTATGCAGGGGTGGTGCTGCAGCATAGGGCCAAAATCGTCACTTTGCGATAAAATCCTATCCGCTTGTTTCGACATTCATCATGAAATTGAATCACACTTCAGGAAAATGTCGAGTTTCCATACAATGGGAGTCCCGGACACCACACACAGCGATTTAATGAGGTCACGCGGCAAGTTTGAGAAGAAAAGTAGGAAATGACGTAGAGAACCGAAGGCAGTTTTGGGCAAACAAAAATTATGACAGAACATTGTGATCAAATGTGTTCAGTAATACATTCATTAAAAAATGATTCCTGTTGCTAGCACTGGGAGGGCCAAACGTTCGGGTCTCCGATTCAAAAGAAACTTGGTGAGCATGTAGCCCTAAACACAAACAGCCCATCGTCCAAATAATAGGACCCACTTCTCAAGCGTTTACAAAAATTGGCCCTTTGAAAATTTAGTGTTTAGTTTATAAGTCTTAAGCTAATAATATCTGTAGTATAAAATGGAATGCGGTGAATGTAATTTGAAATATAAGCAAAGCGTAAATATAAATATTAAAGTGAAGCATATAAAAGACTAAAAATAAAATTTGATATTTTCCCACTGAGAGAAGTGTTAAGTCTCCCTATGTTTTATTTTATTCATAATTTTATAATTCCATCTGATAATCTTGCTGTATTAATTTTTTTTATAGAATAATAAACGTGCTATTTTACTTTTCGGATCGAGCGAAAAGGCTTGTAATTATGACCCAAAAAACACACGCTACTGCAAACAGCGCCAATTGCACCAACTGGATTTTGAAGTTGGAGCAATTGGCGATGTTCGCAGTAGCGGCATAATTGGCAAAATGGTGGTGATATATTTAAATTTTCTAGAGCGACCCATGCTTATGCCATTATTGAAATAGATATTGTATTCGTTTTGCTGTGCTAGAAGGCCCTCTCCACAGGGCCTTTTATTTTTTTTAAAGCAATTTTTATGAAAATTTCCTTTTTGTTCCTGGTTCCTAAGGCCATCGGAGAGCCGCGGTTCCCTACTTTAAGAAACTCTGATATAGAATATGAATATAATTTTATTCTCAGAATATGTCCGTAGTGCAACTAAATATATATAAATTTTAATAGTAAGTTTTCTTGTATAGATATCTCAGAAACCACATTTTTATAATTTATTATATCCAAATATTTAAACAGTTCTTCAGTTCATTTACGTATATTTTTCAGAATCAAATCAGATCCCTTTTCTCCAATCATAAGAGCGAGAGCTTCCGTGTGACCTGTATTTATTTTTGGTATTATCGATGCATCGATAACTCGTAAACCTTTTACTCCTTTCACTCTGTAATCATAAACAATAATGATATATTTATACCCTACGAATATAAGAAAAAAAAAATCTAACATACTTTAATTGAGGATCCACAACAGTCGTATGATCTTGAGGATCTCCCATCTTGCAAGTTCCAGTTGGATGATAATTAGTTAGAGTAAATGATCTAGCAACGCATTCTAAATATTTATCACTATATAGTTTATACGTTTCACACCCCGGAAAAACGTTAAGGAAGGGCCTAACTCCATATTTCTTCATCACTTTAGTTGAACTGATTTCTAAACACTTTTTCATACCTGCAAAGTACAAAAGAATTATGACTCTTTTGCACATATTAAGTAGAGAATTATTCAGTATCTGTGAATTACTAAAGGAGTTTTTTTCATTGCAAATGGCATTCTGCTCACCAAACAGCGAGATTTTCAAACTAAAATTCAACTTTGACCCTAGGCCTCGTCCCTACGTATAGTGAGATCGTAAAGTCCCTCGGCAGTGGGAGGAACTTCTAATAATGATATAACAACATAACAGACAGATCTTAATATTTATGAAAAAGATCCTTCAGGAGTATTCGTTGCCGCTTTAAGAAAGATGCGCTATACCTAGGTTTAACTGTACCCAAAAATATTACCTTCAATTAGAACTTTAATATCTTGGGGTTTATCAAAATAATTCGGATTAATGATAGGAGGCTGATGTGGATCTATCGAGGCGAGCTTGATTTCACCAACGCTTTCGGGCCTCATTACAAGTGGAAAACAGAAAAAGCTGCTAATTCCAGTGTTTGGTTTAAAAACTTTTTCCCACAGCTGAAAACAGTAAAAATATTTTTGTTATTGAGTTAATTTTTATGAAAACACCAGAAAATCTTTGACTAAAAATGGATAATTCTTACTTCTTCAGTTATATCGTAAACATTTTTCATGATAAGTCCGTAGTCGGATGACGGAGTAGCAGAAGAAAACATCAGTTCTATATCTGGCCATTTGGATTGATTATTATATTTGGTACTTATAAACCCGATGGTTTCCGTTATCAGACCAGTAAGTGGCCCTAATTGAAATTATAAATATATTTTATTAGAACTGTAAGGTTTTCAAATGGGATGAAACATGCCTACACGAAAAATTCTGGGCAGTATATCACGTTACGTTTTAGACAGGTGTTAAGTTGTTTTACAGTCATTGTAACGATTGAAGATGAGTCCATTCCACCCGGTTCCTATCTGTTTGGTGGAATTTACTATGTTGTTTAAGAAACGAAATTTGGCATGGTAACTTGTATGTGAGGGGCATTGATGCTATTAAATTTTGGAATACTGAACTCGAAGGGTGAGGAGATAGAGGGAGATCAAGTGTCATATCTCGAGAGGGGTCGGATTTAATGAAAATTTTAATTATTATTGGCATTTACGATATTTAAAAAATTTCATCTTTACCCTCAAAATTAAGCCTTTTGTCTTTTTATTATAATTAATAATATAAAAGTTATTTTTTAAACAAACTCAATACAAAGGTAAGTTACAGAACTCGTTTCCAGATTCTTTAAATGTTACAACACGTTTTAGAGTTAAATACAATGAGCTAGAATATACTATATAGGATGGCTGTGACCATGCTCTTGGTGGCAACGACGGGTACTATCGACGAATTAAAATATTCTCACTGGTTGCCTTTACACAACAGAAATGCCACGCTTCTTGACTAAAAGGAAAATGACGGACGTGTATTCAATTTTCCTCAAACAGGGCGTCGCCTCAGCCAATCTATGTAGTATATTTTAACTCTTGTGGAATAAATTATAAAATGATCTAACTTTTCTTTTAATTATAATGTTGCAATAGAGTAGAGGTATATTGATATTATATACTGGATAACATATTATTCAATATTTCGTTTTATATTCAAATAGATTTTATTGATTGATTAGCATAGTTTAGCTCTATAAATGAGCAGAAATATGTTCATTGCAGTTGACACTTATCCTGAAAGGGGCCATGAGGAAAGGGGAATATTACTCCGATATTCAGTGTCCATGAGGAAATGATACCTTCATTCCTACTGATTTTGTCTTTGCTCTTTTCGCCCTATGAGCACTAAGAGAGCATTTTTAGAAAGCTCATTATGGATTCGGCCGGCCCAGAATGATGCAGCTGGGTCTTGAGAGATGGGGCCCAATGTTTTCAAGACGGATCACCCCTCGAAAAATTGGGGTTTTTTGACCATCCGGATTTGATCCCGGGCCCTCCAGAGTGGTAGAATGCCACTTTAACACTTTATTGGGCAATTACCTTGACAACAACAATATTGTTGTTACATTAAAAATAGAGGCAAGACAGCTAATGGTTAAGAAAGGAAAGGTTTCAGCTCTGGAAAATTCGGATTAGATTCTGGTTCAGGAACCTCATAATTTTTCACGGGTAGAATTTCCTAGATATGTCGAGCACGCGCCCATTATTGGTCGAACCTACTATGAGCAGGGACGAAAGCTTTATTAATAATACTCACGAGGAAATATTTTACAAAAAGTAAGTAAGGATAGAGCCAATAAGAAACAATGCTTACAAGCTTTTGGTTAGAATTTTTAACTTAAAACATATTTAATCGAAGAAGTCACAAATATCAATAACTTTTGAAAGCAAATCTGCAAATTACATATAATATATTGTCTAATATCTAAAGTCACAACTATTTAAATTTATACATACCTTCTTTGATATAATAAGGCAAAGCCCCTAAAACAATACTTTCTGCCATATTATAAGTCACCGATTTCTCTACCGTAAAAGGTACACCAACAGTGACATGGTCTTGCAAATTTTTACCAACTGGAAGATCTGAAACAACGGGTATCTGAAATGTTTAATTTAAATGTTAAAGGAACTTTTGAGTAACGCAAATAAATTGTTTTTTTTTTTTTAAAGTAAAATACCCCCATTTTCTGAAGATGTTCCTTAGGACCGATTCCGGATAACATGAGGATCTGTGGAGAATTTATGGTTCCCGCTGACAGGATTACTTCTCTCGTAACTCTCGATTCTTTTATTTTATTCTTGTGCTCGAATTGCACGCCTGTTGCACGCTTATGTATATCAAACAATATCTAAAATGAAAATTTATTTCCGCATTATTACGCATAATATTAGTATTTATAATTTAGATAATTGTCAAATTAACTTACTTTAATAACTAAGGCTTCAACGGCAATATGCAAATTTTTTCTTTTGTATATTGGTCTGAGGAATGCATCGTAAGTATTACAACGTCTACCATTAGTGACATATCCTTGATTAAGCATAAATGCTTTAAACACAAAATATATATTATAAATAAGATATAAAATCTGATATTTTACACAAGAATTTAGAATATGATAAGGATTTACTTTCGGGATCTGGTCCGTTGTAATCACCCTCTTTGTGACCAATTTCCTTAGCTGCATTCACATAAGCACGCGCAAGAGGTGTATAGTACTTAGTTCTTGATATATTCATCTCACCTCCCACTCCATGATAACCTAATGAGAATGCAATTTCAACTAATTTTCTCCTTAAGTAAATTTCTTTTCCACGATGTGCATTACATGTGTATTTCGGTTCGGTTCAGTAGAGCGTGTTTGATTACCGTCAGTTTAATCATAACCATCCTATATTAATTAATTTATGCAATAGAATTATATCATACCATTAGAAACTATGGAAGCATCTTGATTGTTTTCCCATTTAGTAAAATAAGGAAAAACTTCTTTCCAACTCCATCCAACAGCTCCATTTGCTGCCCAGTTATCGTAGTCTTTTTCGGTTCCTCGGACGTATAGCATGAAATTGATTATACTAGAACCTCCCAATGCTTTTCCTCTTGGAATGTAACTTTTCTGTAAAAATAATCATTCATTTTTTTTTTCTCTTTATCACTTTTAAATGTCCCAATAATAACGGACTAGTTTTACTTGTTCAGTTTCTCATCTGTCGTCGTACTTCGGTCGTCGCGGGCAAAGATTATACTGTAATGGACATAAAAATATCCTCTTAATGCTCACAACGTAGCGGCTCGATGGCCAAAGGTTTGGGCGCTCTAGGACCAGTGGCGGCCTTAGGGGGTGGCGAGCAGGGCAATGGCCCGGGGCCTCGCGCAACAACCAAGTAGAAAAAAGTTGATATTTAAAACTTTATTTTATCCTTGGCTATTAGTTATAACAATAAAATAAATTTAATTTATAGTACAGTATATATTAATATTAATAAGTGCCTACTCNAAAAATTTTACAGGTGATATGCTTCGAGCCGAAGTAGCATCGGGATCTGATTTAGGAAAAACGTTAAAAAAAGTAATGGACGATGGAAAATTAGTTAGCGATGATTTAGTTACAGATTTAATAAACAGAAACTTGGATAAGTCCGATTGTCAAAATGGATTTTTATTGGATGGGTTTCCAAGGACTGTTGTTCAAGCAGAAAAGGCAAGTAAATTAAAACTTTCATTGTTCGTATAATATGATTTTAAGTAGCCAATGAAATGCAATTAAAATAGAATTTTTGTCATAATAAAATTAATGAAAATAAAATAGTTTATTCAAGTTTAATTTTAAGGGTAAAAAAAATATGCCATAAAACGATTTACGGTTCTCATTTTTACAAAATTTATTTTTAGTTGGATGAACTGTTGGAGAAACGTAATTCAAAATTAGATTCGGTTATAGAATTTAGTATTGATGATTCGGTGCTTGTTCGTCGTATCACTGGAAGATTAATTCATGTTCCAAGTGGTAGAAGTTATCATGAAGAATTTAATCCACCAAAGAAACATATGGTCGATGATGTAAGTAACTTATTTTAGAATGTGATATTTTTATTGAGACAGATTATACAATATTTTACAACTGTACAGAACAGCACAGGATTCACACTTTGATGAATGTCCCCATTATATTTTTTATATGTAGCCTACTTGTTATATTTAATAATTAATCAACTTAGCTCTCTTTTTGATGAGTATCCAGGAATGATCCCATAGAATGTAAACGCCAATTTTATACTTTTCATTAGAACAATTTCTGCCTAACATCATCATCATTTATTGATAGCTGACATTCATTGAAGTAGTTTACATGCTGCTGATGCCAAGTGCTCTTGCAGTGTATGAAAAGAAATAACTTTACCTTTCTTTTTCACATATACCAAACTCCCAATTATCCATGCTAATTAGTGCACAAGTGTTCATGTAAAAGTGGAAAGTATGGATAATTCAAAATAGCCCTCTAAACTGTATTACTGTAAACTGTAAACTATTCAGAGGTTTTACTCGTAAATGAAATACAGTATATATATAGCTCAACTCTGTTATAATGCGATGCAAGTATGAGTCTCAAATTTCATAAGATGAAATGGATACAAGTGTTCCTCTACTTATAAACAGATTATGTTTTTGAGGTTAGAAAAAAGTAATCTGTTTTGAGAAAGACTTGTTCTGTTCATATATGCGATCTGAATGAATCGCGCACAATATTATGTTCATCGTGTTCAGTGAGAGTTCATAAGAATTGTTATCAGGGCATTGGAGGGATTTGTAAAGACATTAGTGACATTTATGTTTGCAACACTTTCAAAAGACAAGAAAAATTGCAGAGGAACGTCAAAAATAACACAGAGGCCAGAAAAGAGCAGCAGAAAAATGATTGAAATTATTACAAATAAACTAAAAACAGTTGAAGTTGGGGACTTTATTGAACATTCGAAAGGTTGACCAAGGCCATTAGACTGCCAAAATGTAATAGGAAAAATTCTTCTTGCAAAAAATGTTTATCAAATTAGAACAAAGGGTGGCATAATTAAGACCTGTTTCAGTAGAAGTGATTTCCAGATTTCTGGGATGCAAATTCTTGAAGACATTCCAGAAAAATATGTATCTCTATGTGAAGCTGTGGGGAAAGAATCAAAATTTGGTGGACAAGGATTTGCCAGTTGTAAGTGCATAGTGTCAAAAAAAAAAAAGTTCACATGTAAGAAGGTAAATCAATTGTGCACATCAAAATTTCACAGCAGTTCATCATGTGCAAATAAATAAATGGAATGTTTGTGCCCTAAGTGAAACTGTAAATCAGTATTTTTCATTTTTACTAATTATTATACTATTTTTTTAACAATTAACTTTGAACAAAAGTCTTCTAGAAATTTAATATTATTTTCATAAAAGTTCAGTATTATTAATTTTTGATATAACAGTGTTACTCCATATTATTCATTGTCATATCACATATGAGTATATTCAAGCTTTGTATATATTGTAATTAATCATTATTTTTTCCAATTAAAATTATTATTCATTATTCTTCATTATTAATTTATATCAGGGATGTCCAACCTGCAGGCTGCACCCTAAATTTTTTAGGAACATTTTCATTTATTTTGGTAAAGTATGTTGTAAAAATTATTCTTGTTTCACTGGATACACTTTGATGTCGTAATGAGGTAATTGATGCTAGAAAACTGTACTACTTCACAAGAATAACATACTGTTGTGAACAATTCTTTTCATGCATGAAAAACATAAAAACTGCTGAAAGACATAGGTTGGATGATTCCCATTAAACTAACAGTCTTAGAATTAAGACGTGCAATAAAAGCAGATATTGACAATATTATAAAAGGAACACAATGTCAAAAAATCGCATTGAATTTATTTTTATATTGTGTGAGTATAATTTTTTTTACTGTCAATAATACAGTATTTTATGTAATTATATATACAGTATTTGTTATTAAAATTTGATATTCACGTTTTGAACGTTTTAAAAGCATATATTTATATAAAGTACCTTTTTGGCCCGCGGAGTATATGTAAATTTCTAATTTGGCCCATTAGGAAAAAAGGTTGGATATCCCTGATTTATATTATTAATTTCTTTTATCATTATGTTGTATTATGTTAATTATTTTAAGGTTACTTTACAATAATAATCTTTCTTAGACATCTGTCTGCTGTTTGTCTAATAAGTCTTTTGTGTCTTCAGAATATTACAATAAGCCTAGAATCAATCGGGCTAATTGAACCAACTTAAGTTCACTTTCTTAATTGCTTAAAGCTCTGTGGGCTGATTACAAAATGCCTAAGTAATTTTACACTGAATAGCAAATACATAATGATTTTCCTATTTGCCAGGTTCATTGTAAAATGACGGTGGAAAATCAGGTACAATGAGCCTGATTATCAAATTTGCCTACGACATATACACCAGATAATACTAAAATAGATTGAGAGTTCTATCTGAATTAATAACTGGGGCAAGGAGAAATTGGGTGTATGTAATCATACTTCCAAATAAGAGAGACTAACTTTAATGAAATGTTGTTGATTAGATTCCCATCCAAAAAAGATATGATGTTTGCTACTAACAACTGGTACAAATTTTACAAGAATTTTGCCATTTCTTGCCACTGATCTATATGTCTAAGAAGGAATTTAAACTGCCTAATCACTACCTAAAGTTTTGTAGCATACACAATTAATTTTCCTATTCATAAGATTTACTTATTTTTATAAAATCTTTACACACACAATTTTAAGTAAAATGAATTTTAAAATTATAAATTTGTTGTAGATTACTGGTGAGCCTCTAATACGAAGATCGGATGATAATGTTACAGCTCTGAAGAAAAGATTAGACTCCTATCATAAACAAACTCAACCATTAGTAGATTATTATTCCAAAAAACACTTACATACACAAATAAATGCAGACCAAAATCCTAATTTAGTATTTTCTCAGATACAGCTAGCTTTTTCTAAAGCAAAGACTAAAGATTTAGTTTTCTTTGTATAATAATAATAATAATAATAATTTTCTTATATATATTTGGTACAAAATTATACTCTTTCATTGGAAATACTTTACAAAATATAATAATTATTATTATAACAAGGTTAATATTGACACGATGATTGGTTTTTACAAAATTATACATTATAAAATTATTTCTTTACAATTTGACAATTTAATGAGTTTTTTTAATATAATTTTTTTATTAAAAAGTTCAAAGTTTTTAAATAAAAAAAATATTATATTGTTTCAATGTTAAATTTATAAACAAAAATTTTTGTAAATATGGCAGATTTTTCATAAATTTTAATTACTGTTTGCGCTCTTCAATTATGGCAAAAAATATTAGTCTATAGGTTACTGTTAATCAATTATTATAAATTTCTGTTAGTATATAATTATTGATTTAACAATTTAAAACATTAAAAGAAAAAAATAAAGAAATATTGTTATTCAGAAAAGTATGTTGTTTATTGTGTTTATACTCTGTGCAGGATAAAGCTGCTGTCTGTAATAACATATTCAATTATTTAATTTTGATAATTCTGTTGAAATATTTTGTTAAGTTTTCTCTCTCTTGTGCTGTGTTGTAAAACTTAAACGGACTTTTAATTAAGTTAAATATATATATCTCAAGAAGAGTGCATTTCTTGAACTGACCAAAATATTGAAGATATCATCCTTGACTTCTTACATACTGCAAGCAGCAAGACATATCTTTTACAAAATAGCAACTGACAGTGTGAATGTGTTATCATCTTTGGTACTGCTCTGTAATGCTCCTCGCTGTTTTAAAACTAAGTGTAAAGGGCAGACTATTAGAAGTCAAATGCAGGAAGTTGTTCTGAATGTTTGTTCATACATTGAGGGAGCTAATCTGACCCTAAACATAGAAGCTACTGAAGAAACTGCAAGGTTGACCATCGTTTGGTGTTTCACCATCTTTGCTATGAAGAAGTAATGGAGTGTGACAGATGGAAAACTTTGGATACTAGGCCAAAAGAGACTTTGGAAATTGAGCAGCGACATGATGCCATATGTTGGGGATGGTGAACCTACGGCACGCGTGCCCAAAATGGCACTATAGAGAAATCATCTGGCACGTAACATATCATACGATTTTGATTAATCATCTGTCTTTTTCAATCACCCCAATTAATGTAAAAAAAGCTTATTGAGAACAATAAGCTATTTTTTTACATTTATTTTAATTAAAGCATATTCGTTTAATTTCTTTAAATATTGTTATTTGAAGTTTAAAACTTTGGCATGCATAAACATCTTTAAAGCTAAGTGTACTTACTATATGGCAGGCGGGATCAGAAAGGTTAGCCACCCCTGCCATATGTGATAGTTTTACTTACACTTACTATGAGGTATTGTATAAAAATATTTTTTCACAAATGAGCCACTAACATTAAACAAATTTGAACAATATAATAGTGATCCTGATTTGCCAATTATTTCCAAAAGATTACATAAAGTTTTGAAATAAATCAGCGTTGTTTATAATTGTCATAGAAAGGTGATAAACCAATAAACATGATATATCTAAGGGCACAAATCTCAAATTTAACAGTATCATTCAAAGAAAGATATTTTCACTTAATAAAACTTGGACAAATGCTGGCCATGCAATGTCAAGATGTTGGCAAGATAAAACTGCATTTTTGAAGGGCTTGTCATCTGAAAGAATTACTTACATCTTTTACACACATCCATGTAACACAAGCAGGCATAATATGTAATGAGGATATGTATTTCTGAAAAAAGCAACTGTTTTCCAAAGCCAAAACACACCACTCCGGTATTGTTTAGTGCACGAATCCCTTTTAAACTACACCTATTCCTCAGGCCGATCACGTGCACTTCGAAGAAGCGGTGTACATAAGAAAAAAAATACCGTCCCGAGGACGGGGTCAGGCCCGACAATAGATTAAACATTCTGAATACTATGATGAAAAGTCTAGATCACTGTTCAAGGTTCCACTTAAGTATCCTAAACTTAAAGATAGTTCCATTCCAACGTTACTTCCAGATTGTCCCTTTGTATTCCTCATCTCACATTACTGTAAGAGAAGGACCAGAAGAAAAGCGAAAACATTTCGACACTTGGCATGTCTTTTATTATATCAATAAAATTGTTTTTGCAGATGTGCAGACAGATCCAAGTCCTTTAATAACAAAATCTGTTATAATCAATGAAAATTTATGGGTCAGTATATTTATTGGTAAAATTTCATTGAAAAAGTTAGATAATTTTAATTTTCCTCTACGTATAAATGGTATTAATATTCTTGAAATACAGAAAAAGTTAGAATATGTCAATGATTCAGATAGTGAAAACAATTCAATAGACCTTTCAGCTTCAGAGTAGCATTTCAACTGATGTATCAAATCTCAATTATTTGTCTGAACAGTTATCTGTCAACAAACATCAGTATAACTATGCTGCAGAACTTTTGATTTTATCTTGTTTACCGTTTTCTATATCTCCTAATGCTTTACTTCATTCGTAAAATTTGCTCATTATTTAGTTTAAACTCTACAATTGAACAATTTGAAGAGAATTTTTTATTATATGCCAAAGATTTCAAACTTTAAGTTGACTGTAGTTTCATTATCTTTTAATGATGGATGAAATTCATCCGAAATCATATTTTGATTACACGGGTGGAAATATTGATGCAGGACACAATAGTAAACAACTTGATACAAGTGCTTATGTTTTTATGGCACAAAGTTTATCATCTAGGTATAGAGATGTTCATATATTACCCATTCATAAAATTACTGCCGAAGATTTGTTTTCATGCTTAAAAAAATAATTTTTAGTTTAGAAGAAATTGGTTGTAAGGTAATTAATAGTGATGACAATGCTATTAATGGCAAGGCTGTTTTTTTTTTTACACAAATTCACCAACATTTGTAAACATGTTTTAGATCCTACAAGACCTTTGTTTTTTATATATGATTCTGTTCATTTAAAAATATAAGAAATAATTTGTTTTCCCAAAAAAAAATGATGGGAAGTTAATGAATTACATTGACTTTGGAAATAAAACTTCAATGAGAACTGCTTCATATATACAAGTAATTCTTCAAAAATTATAAGCTTTAGATAATGGACGTTTGATTAAATATGTATATGGATTATCGTTAAAAGCTTTGTCTCTAACTAATATAATATAAAATTTATACTTCAAATATTTAATGATTGTTCAAGGTTTGGAACATGATGAAAAACTGATTGCCACATCAGAGTATTTAAAAATAATATATTCTTGGAAGGTCAATAATGAATGTCAAAACTATATTTAAAGATGAGTATAAGAAAATAAATTTCGAGAACCACTAAAACTAATAGTGATGATGAAATTTTTTTTTTTTGAACAATTTCATAGATTGGTTAGAAAAGTGGAAGAAAGCCAATTACAACACTGGAGTCTTAAGAAACACACGCTGCATTATTCCACATTACTTATGCAGGGGTGGTGCTGCAGCATAGGGCCAAAATCGTCACTTTGCGATAAAATCCTATCCGCTTGTTTCGACATTCATCATGAAATTGAATCACACTTCAGGAAAATGTCGAGTTTCCATACAATGGGAGTCCCGGACACCACACACAGCGATTTAATGAGGTCACGCGGCAAGTTTGAGAAGAAAAGTAGGAAATGACGTAGAGAACCGAAGGCAGTTTTGGGCAAACAAAAATTATGACAGAACATTGTGATCAAATGTGTTCAGTAATACATTCATTAAAAAATGATTCCTGTTGCTAGCACTGGGAGGGCCAAACGTTCGGGTCTCCGATTCAAAAGAAACTTGGTGAGCATGTAGCCCTAAACACAAACAGCCCATCGTCCAAATAATAGGACCCACTTCTCAAGCGTTTACAAAAATTGGCCCTTTGAAAATTTAGTGTTTAGTTTATAAGTCTTAAGCTAATAATATCTGTAGTATAAAATGGAATGCGGTGAATGTAATTTGAAATATAAGCAAAGCGTAAATATAAATATTAAAGTAAAGCATATAAAAGACTAAAGATAAAATTTGATATTTTCTCACTGAGAGAAGTGTTAAGTCTCCCTATGTTTTATTTTATTCATAATTTTATAATTCCATCTGATAATCTTGCTGTATTAATTTTTTTTATAGAATAATAAACGTGCTATTTTACTTTTCGGATCGAGCGAAAAGGCTTGTAATTATGACCCAAAAAACACACGCTACTGCAAACAGCGCCAATTGCACCAACTGGATTTTGAAGTTGGAGCAATTGGCGATGTTCGCAGTAGCGGCATAATTGGCAAAATGGTGGTGATATATTTAAATTTTCTAGAGCGACCCATGCTTATGCCATTATTGAAATAGATATTGTATTCGTTTTGCTGTGCTAGAAGGCCCTCTCCACAGGGCCTTTTATTTTTTTTAAAGCAATTTTTATGAAAATTTCCTTTTTGTTCCTGGTTCCTAAGGCCATCGGAGAGCCGCGGTTCCCTACTTTAAGAAACTCTGATATAGAATATGAATATAATTTTATTCTCAGAATATGTCCGTAGTGCAACTAAATATATATAAATTTTAATAGTAAGTTTTCTTGTATAGATATCTCAGAAACCACATTTTTATAATTTATTATATCCAAATATTTAAACAGTTCTTCAGTTCATTTACGTATATTTTTCAGAATCAAATCAGATCCCTTTTCTCCAATCATAAGAGCGAGAGCTTCCGTGTGACCTGTATTTATTTTTGGTATTATCGATGCATCGATAACTCGTAAACCTTTTACTCCTTTCACTCTGTAATCATAAACAATAATGATATATTTATACCCTACGAATATAAGAAAAAAAAAATCTAACATACTTTAATTGAGGATCCACAACAGTCGTATGATCTTGAGGATCTCCCATCTTGCAAGTTCCAGTTGGATGATAATTAGTTAGAGTAAATGATCTAGCAACGCATTCTAAATATTTATCACTATATAGTTTATACGTTTCACACCCCGGAAAAACGTTAAGGAAGGGCCTAACTCCATATTTCTTCATCACTTTAGTTGAACTGATTTCTAAACACTTTTTCATACCTGCAAAGTACAAAAGAATTATGACTCTTTTGCACATATTAAGTAGAGAATTATTCAGTATCTGTGAATTACTAAAGGAGTTTTTTTCATTGCAAATGGCATTCTGCTCACCAAACAGCGAGATTTTCAAACTAAAATTCAACTTTGACCCTAGGCCTCGTCCCTACGTATAGTGAGATCGTAAAGTCCCTCGGCAGTGGGAGGAACTTCTAATAATGATATAACAACATAACAGACAGATCTTAATATTTATGAAAAAGATCCTTCAGGAGTATTCGTTGCCGCTTTAAGAAAGATGCGCTATACCTAGGTTTAACTGTACCCAAAAATATTACCTTCAATTAGAACTTTAATATCTTGGGGTTTATCAAAATAATTCGGATTAATGATAGGAGGCTGATGTGGATCTATCGAGGCGAGCTTGATTTCACCAACGCTTTCGGGCCTCATTACAAGTGGAAAACAGAAAAAGCTGCTAATTCCAGTGTTTGGTTTAAAAACTTTTTCCCACAGCTGAAAACAGTAAAAATATTTTTGTTATTGAGTTAATTTTTATGAAAACACCAGAAAATCTTTGACTAAAAATGGATAATTCTTACTTCTTCAGTTATATCGTAAACATTTTTCATGATAAGTCCGTAGTCGGATGACGGAGTAGCAGAAGAAAACATCAGTTCTATATCTGGCCATTTGGATTGATTATTATATTTGGTACTTATAAACCCGATGGTTTCCGTTATCAGACCAGTAAGTGGCCCTAATTGAAATTATAAATATATTTTATTAGAACTGTAAGGTTTTCAAATGGGATGAAACATGCCTACACGAAAAATTCTGGGCAGTATATCACGTTACGTTTTAGACAGGTGTTAAGTTGTTTTACAGTCATTGTAACGATTGAAGATGAGTCCATTCCACCCGGTTCCTATCTGTTCGGTGGAATTTACTATGTTGTTTAAGAAACGAAATTTGGCATGGTAACTTGTATGTGAGGGGCATTGATGCTATTAAATTTTGGAATACTGAACTCGAAGGGTGAGGAGATAGAGGGAGATCAAGTGTCATATCTCGAGAGGGGTCGGATTTAATGAAAATTTTAATTATTATTGGCATTTACGATATTTAAAAAATTTCATCTTTACCCTCAAAATTAAGCCTTTTGTCTTTTTATTATAATTAATAATATAAAAGTTATTTTTTAAACAAACTCAATACAAAGGTAAGTTACAGAACTCGTTTCCAGATTCTTTAAATGTTACAACACGTTTTAGAGTTAAATACAATGAGCTAGAATATACTATATAGGATGGCTGTGACCATGCTCTTGGTGGCAACGACGGGTACTATCGACGAATTAAAATATTCTCACTGGTTGCCTTTACACAACAGAAATGCCACGCTTCTTGACTAAAAGGAAAATGACGGACGTGTATTCAATTTTCCTCAAACAGGGCGTCGCCTCAGCCAATCTATGTAGTATATTTTAACTCTTGTGGAATAAATTATAAAATGATCTAACTTTTCTTTTAATTATAATGTTGCAATAGAGTAGAGGTATATTGATATTATATACTGGATAACATATTATTCAATATTTCGTTTTATATTCAAATAGATTTTATTGATTGATTAGCATAGTTTAGCTCTATAAATGAGCAGAAATATGTTCATTGCAGTTGACACTTATCCTGAAAGGGGCCATGAGGAAAGGGGAATATTACTCCGATATTCAGTGTCCATGAGGAAATGATACCTTCATTCCTACTGATTTTGTCTTTGCTCTTTTCGCCCTATGAGCACTAAGAGAGCATTTTTAGAAAGCTCATTATGGATTCGGCCGGCCCAGAATGATGCAGCTGGGTCTTGAGAGATGGGGCCCAATGTTTTCAAGACGGATCACCCCTCGAAAAATTGGGGTTTTTTGACCATCCGGATTTGATCCCGGGCCCTCCAGAGTGGTAGAATGCCACTTTAACACTTTATTGGGCAATTACCTTGACAACAACAATATTGTTGTTACATTAAAAATAGAGGCAAGACAGCTAATGGTTAAGAAAGGAAAGGTTTCAGCTCTGGAAAATTCGGATTAGATTCTGGTTCAGGAACCTCATAATTTTTCACGGGTAGAATTTCCTAGATATGTCGAGCACGCGCCCATTATTGGTCGAACCTACTATGAGCAGGGACGAAAGCTTTATTAATAATACTCACGAGGAAATATTTTACAAAAAGTAAGTAAGGATAGAGCCAATAAGAAACAATGCTTACAAGCTTTTGGTTAGAATTTTTAACTTAAAACATATTTAATCGAAGAAGTCACAAATATCAATAACTTTTGAAAGCAAATCTGCAAATTACATATAATATATTGTCTAATATCTAAAGTCACAACTATTTAAATTTATACATACCTTCTTTGATATAATAAGGCAAAGCCCCTAAAACAATACTTTCTGCCATATTATAAGTCACCGATTTCTCTACCGTAAAAGGTACACCAACAGTGACATGGTCTTGCAAATTTTTACCAACTGGAAGATCTGAAACAACGGGTATCTGAAATGTTTAATTTAAATGTTAAAGGAACTTTTGAGTAACGCAAATAAATTGTTTTTTTTTTTTTAAAGTAAAATACCCCCATTTTCTGAAGATGTTCCTTAGGACCGATTCCGGATAACATGAGGATCTGTGGAGAATTTATGGTTCCCGCTGACAGGATTACTTCTCTCGTAACTCTCGATTCTTTTATTTTATTCTTGTGCTCGAATTGCACGCCTGTTGCACGCTTATGTATATCAAACAATATCTAAAATGAAAATTTATTTCCGCATTATTACGCATAATATTAGTATTTATAATTTAGATAATTGTCAAATTAACTTACTTTAATAACTAAGGCTTCAACGGCAATATGCAAATTTTTTCTTTTGTATATTGGTCTGAGGAATGCATCGTAAGTATTACAACGTCTACCATTAGTGACATATCCTTGATTAAGCATAAATGCTTTAAACACAAAATATATATTATAAATAAGATATAAAATCTGATATTTTACACAAGAATTTAGAATATGATAAGGATTTACTTTCGGGATCTGGTCCGTTGTAATCACCCTCTTTGTGACCAATTTCCTTAGCTGCATTCACATAAGCACGCGCAAGAGGTGTATAGTACTTAGTTCTTGATATATTCATCTCACCTCCCACTCCATGATAACCTAATGAGAATGCAATTTCAACTAATTTTCTCCTTAAGTAAATTTCTTTTCCACGATGTGCATTACATGTGTATTTCGGTTCGGTTCAGTAGAGCGTGTTTGATTACCGTCAGTTTAATCATAACCATCCTATATTAATTAATTTATGCAATAGAATTATATCATACCATTAGAAACTATGGAAGCATCTTGATTGTTTTCCCATTTAGTAAAATAAGGAAAAACTTCTTTCCAACTCCATCCAACAGCTCCATTTGCTGCCCAGTTATCGTAGTCTTTTTCGGTTCCTCGGACGTATAGCATGAAATTGATTATACTAGAACCTCCCAATGCTTTTCCTCTTGGAATGTAACTTTTCTGTAAAAATAATCATTCATTTTTTTTTTCTCTTTATCACTTTTAAATGTCCCAATAATAACGGACTAGTTTTACTTGTTCAGTTTCTCATCTGTCGTCGTACTTCGGTCGTCGCGGGCAAAGATTATACTGTAATGGACATAAAAATATCCTCTTAATGCTCACAACGTAGCGGCTCGATGGCCAAAGGTTTGGGCGCTCTAGGACCAGTGGCGGCCTTAGGGGGTGGCGAGCAGGGCAATGGCCCGGGGCCTCGCGCAACAACCAAGTAGAAAAAAGTTGATATTTAAAACTTTATTTTATCCTTGGCTATTAGTTATAACAATAAAATAAATTTAATTTATAATACAGTATATATTAATAAGTGCCTACTATTTCAATTCACATACTTTGCACAAAGGACAAGGGCCTCGCAAAGATCTGCCGCCCAGGGCCTCGCAATGGATAAGGCCGCCGCTGTCTAGGACCCACCAGTGGCCGATTTGATAAAATCACTAAACGGCGGTAGTTGGTTGTGGGTTCGGGCCTCACCAACAGGCAGACCACGTGGAGTTTTCCGGGTTTGTTTTAGGTTTGTAACACCTAAATAAAGACTTTTTTTTAACTCTTTCCGCCCTGTGGGCACTAAGAGGGTCTCATTTTGCAAGCCATTCATGGGTTCGGCCAGGCACACAATGGGGCTGCCGGGCGGTGAGGGACGGGGCCCGACATATCCGAACGGACCACCCCACAAAAAATTCCTGGGGATTTTTCGACCCGTTCGGATTCGAGCCCGGGTCCTCCAGAGCAGTAGGTTGCCACCTTGACCGCTCGGCCATTCGGCCGCTCTAAATAAGGACTGAATATATTGACTTAAGTGCTTTTAAAATTTGGGAGACAAAAAAAAAAAATGCGATATATCCGAATCCGCAATGTAACTAGAGGCTACTGTATGTGAGACCCGAGCTCACGTGTTAAAAATTTAATAAAAGTGGATCGAGCTTTGATTCTAACGTTCATAAAACTGAAAGAAAAACGTAAATAAAATTGAAAAAGAATAAAATTATTCGTAATCCGAAATAGATATGGAATCCTTAGGGGCAGGAAACCCGATTAATTGTATACGTTACGTTATTTTAATTCAAAAATCCCCCCCCCGAAAGGTGTTAGATAGATGACAGGCACGAATCTATTGTTAAAGGAAAAGTATGATGTACAAGGGCAAGCCACTATTAATTTCAGGTGGAGAACATACGTTTTAAATTAAACAAATTGAAAATATGAATAAAAATTACATCCCGGCATTGTGACGATGTGGCAATAAATAATTACGTTTTCACTCGAAAATGAAATTTAAACTCACATTTTCTTTCAGTCCAAAGCAAGAATACTTTTGAGGAATGGACTTGTATGACCAATCGAATTCTGTCTTTTGGAGAAAAGGTACAGCTAAAGGAATATTTACTATTTCGTCGGGTATAGAACCAGCTTCTAATAATAGAATTTGTAGAGATAAATTCGAAGATAATCTATTAGCAAGAAGAGATCCGGCAGTTCCTCCTCCAACTAACAATTAAAAACAAATTACTGTAGTGGTTAAGATACATTTACAAACGATCGAATTAAAATATAGATTCGTTAATACTTACTTATGATATAATCGTAAAAATCGTTAACTTCTGTTACAAATTCCGAGTTCGATATTACGCTATTGGCAATAATAATAATAGCACTTACAAGAGGAAATCGATCCATGTCACTACCATTGGAATGACACTGTCCAATATTTCCAGTTAGACTAGTACATCATTTTTATAAAATATGAAAATTTGGAAACGTTCCATACTTACATTAATATTCACATTTGTGCGTGTTTATAATTGATATGAATAGAATCTATTTATAAAGGAAAAAGCTGGCAACGTTCTTCTAGATTTTCCCGGAATTCTTTATTTGTATCTATTCTTAATAATTACTATAATTACTTTTACGTGTTCAGATTGGTTCGGGAGATATTAAGTGGGAGAGGACATATCTCCTGAACCAATAGTCTGATTTATCTGAAAATCTGTAGAGACATTTTCCCATAATACTCACACCTCCGTGTAAAATTTCAAAATTTTTCGACAAAAGGCACAGGAGTTGTTAAACTTCAAAATGGGTAAAACAGTGGGCTCTTCAACATACATAAACACACACACAAACCTCCATACGTACCTAAACTAGTGTATAGTAATGTAAATATCTGTTGTATAACAGTCATGAAAGTAAACTGTAAGAAAGTGTAGAAGGTATTCCTTTTCTTGAATAACGTCTATTAATATTATAATGAAATAGATGGTATCTTGTTCATAATTACAGCCATTAATACTTGTAACCTAATAAATAACAAAATCTAAGATTTTGTTCTTGTTCAGTGAGCTTCTACGACAATAAAATCTGTACGAATAGTGTGCAGAATAAGTTATTCAGTACACGTCAGACACGTATAGATAATTTATCTTTAGTGATCTTGAATGCAGTTTTTATTTTAATATAATAATTCTTATTCATGAAAAGTAATTGTTTATTTGTATATATATATACAGTAAAGTCTCTGTAATCCCATATATAACAGATCGAATTTTTTATGTACAGTAAGTACTGTACTGTGATTAATAGGTTAGTTTATCGTATTCGTTACGATTGTGACTGTTTTTCCGACTGCATAAGCAATAAACAACTAGCGACTGGCAAACAGTGTACACGTACTGTACATCAGTCTCCTCTGTCACGTACATTAAGTGGCAACAGGAAAATTTTATTTATGTCCCCTGCGGCTGATTACTGAACGTGTCTATCTGGCGAGTGATTATTGACATAACTGTAGTTTTCTTATTGATAAATGGAGGTGAATAGATTGACGATATCTAATAATAATATAATATAAAATGTGTTATTTTATCGTAAGGAATGACAGAAGTGTAATTAAATTGTAAGCGCGACAATGACGCAATTCTATTAGATGCCGTGAAGGTTATTACCGTAAATTATCAATAACAACTTACGCTGGAGTAAATTTAATTATATATTATTACGAAAGTCAATGTTTTAAAACATACTTTTGTCTTCTTAACGTCTAGATCTTAACTTTTACAGTTTGGAAGAAGCCAGCCGCTTTATTATAAGGGCCGAATTTGTATGCACGTACATGTTGTTTGTATGCGAAACCTTGTTATAAACACGATTTGAATGCAATCGGATCGAATTAAAGTCGTTCGATAATTCATATTTTATACACGTTTATGATTTTTACTGCTAGTTTTACAGGTATGACCCTTTTTCGGAAAGAAATAAGCGTTTTATGAAATTTATGGCAGCGGTTGTCAATCTTTCTGAGGTGGCAGAACAACACCATTCATATACGTCCTTTTTTATGTAGAGCATTGGCATTAATGTATTTGTAAATCGATAAGCAATCCCATTTTTACTATTCACAAAACAATGAAGCAACAAACTAATAAACTTTAATGTATTGATTAATGTGAAAACACAATATGGTATTGTCTACGAATAAAGAAATATGTTGTTATTCATTGTAATAAATTCTATTAAATGGGGGGCCAACTTTACATAAAATTCTCCTCCCGTAACCAAATAAACAGAACCAAATGTAATAATTTTTCCATAAACGCGATATTTACGAGGACATCCAGCCCCACTCCGCTTCCTCATTTTTGGGGTTTGGGGCAATGGAAACCCATTGCCCCAAACTCTCCAACACGGATCACTTTTCAAATATTTATACTAGACCAGTATTAATTAGTAGCGGTTGATCATCCGAGTGACCAATTTAATAATCATATAAACACTAATCAAACGCCGAATGAATAATGTAAGATGCAAGGTTTATTTTAATATGGAAAAAAATATATATAGGACCTATTTAGATGTTCCAAACGTGAAGAAAACCCTACATGTTTTATTCACTCCGACACTGGTGGGCCTTTCCCATTTTTCCGTGTCGCGTTAGTAATTACACTTTCATAAAGAGATCTTACTTTAAAGCTATTAGACATCGTAATTAAATATTTCCCTAAGGAGATGGAATTTCCCTAATTTCTCACTTCCCAGAAAATGAGAGAGTATTGCGTGCAGTGAATACTTAAGCAACAAACGTGATGGTAGACTTCCTCCTATTTAATATTTTCGTTAATTTTATAAATGTATTTTAACAAAGGAAAAACGATAATTATAGATGATGTATAAAAAAAATATTACTGGAATTCATTTTCTAAACATCTACAAAGTAACATTTATTACGTTCCGAGATATCCGAGGTTAAAGTTCGCTCGCCGTGTAAACTCTACGGGCCGATTGCAAGTTGTAAGGTTGTCAATTGAGTTTCCGTCGAATTTCATTTGATATTTAAAATACACCTAAGTTTTTTTTTTTTTTTTAAATATCGTCTTGTTAGCCTTGAATATGTGGACAAATGCCATGTTTTGAAGTTTCTGTTTGTATTTTGCACTTTATTATTCCGGCTGATGTATTTAAGAGGGGAAAGTATGGGCCCAAGATTTTATATATTTTTGGACACGGGACCTTGAAACGTCGAGAAAAATTCAAAAATGTTCGGGGATTTTTCTCAGCATGTATGGATGTTAGTGTGTGTATGTGGGAGAAGACACGCTTTTTGTTCACTCAATTTAAAGCTTAATAACTCCTATGTCTTCTGTCAAAAATTTCTGAAATCTTGTAGGTATTAGTATACATTTATATACAATGGAACCTCGCTTAACGAGTGAGGAGGAGAGAAGAAGTCCAGAATTGTGTGCATCAGTCTGTGTTTAGCATTTTAGTGTTGCTCGGTATAACACATTTTTCCAAATTCCTGTTCGCACATATTACGTACGAACATAAAAAACCATAGCGTATTATATCAGGTCAGTCCATAAGTTCGTGCTTATTTTATGACCTTGAGAAAAATCTTGTTTTGCTGTTAAAATTGCAGTCTAATGTGATACTTTTTACACTGAAGTGTTAAATTGGATCTCATTCATATAATACTGTTCAGAATTGGGAACATTTCAGTTGTTTATTTTCGTTAAAATGGAAGTAACAGATGAATATAAGAGACATGTTTTATACTTTTTATTTTTAAGTGGTGAGAATGCTACAAATGCAGCCAAAAAATTAAATACAGTCGAACCCCCTATAATTACGGTCCCTATAATTACGATTCCTATAAAACTACGAAAAAATATACGTATTTTGGAAATGTTGTGTCGGATTAGTGTAGAATCGATTAATTTTATGGTAGAAAACCTTTCAATCAGCCGTAGTCCGTAAACTTGACACGTGTCGGGCTGTGATTGGAACGTCGGTTATACAGATTCGCTAATAAGTAGGGAAGATCTATATCTTATAGGGGGGTCGACTGTACTGTTCATAATCAAACTGTAATAAGTGTAAGGACTGCGCAGAAGTGGTTTGAAAGATTTAGAAATAATGATTTTAGTGTGGAGGATAAGGCTCGTACTGGAAAACCCGTTGACTTTGATGATGATGCTATCTCTGCACTAGTTGAAGCAGAACTATCTTTAACAGTTGATGAAATTGCGGAATTTTTTGTTGCTTTTTTGTAGATAAAAATGCGCACGAACTTATGGACTGACCTGATATAATAAACACGCCAAACAATATGCCAATACCTTGGGCTATGTAAAGGCTATAATTAAATATTAGAAATTAATTAATTTGACTAGAGGTAAGGAGTTATGCCGCCATCTCGTATTATTAAATTTAATAACCGATTCTAAATTAAATTTTAGAAATGTCTAAATTAAAAATGATTATTAATAAATAAAATGAAATTACAAATATATACCTCAAAATTATAAATAAATAAATAAATATGTATATATAATAAATAATAATTATAATATTTATTATATAATAAATTATAATAAACAACGAGTATCGGGACAAAATTGCTAGTTTATTAGTTAATACAATAGAATAATTAATTTTACAAGGAAGTTTGTTCCTAAAGGTTTATTATTATTTTTTATATATTTACTATTAAATATTGGTGATTAAAGGTCAAGGTTAATAGAGAGATGAAGGGGGTCTTGTGTATCTCCACTAGGACCAGACTTAATGACGATTTTACTCGCCATTAACAATTACAAATTTTTATAATTTGCCATTTTATAATGTGTTAAAAATATTTTTTTTAAAAGCTTTTTTTACGTAAAATATCATAACAGATGGCGCCACCAAATGTCGCCTGGAAAGTTAAGCAACTCCCTCCTAGATTTTTAAAAATATATTTTACATTTATGTTTAGATTGAATATTTATTAATTAATAGCATTTATATTTTTAGAAATAAGTAAATCAATATATGTGTATTATTATTATTCTGATTTGGAACTGAAGATGGATCTTAGATTTATTAAATTAGTAACTATATGAGAATAAAACTTTAACATCTCTGTAGGTTTATTAACGTAATACGTTGAATGGAAATCAGTCATAGAACAGAAGTACAAGGGTGTCCCGAATTAAGGTTGACATTTTGCGGCTGGCTACAGAAAAAAACTATTCAGCAGAAAGTCAGGGAATGTCTTAATGAGATTATGGAAATTTTTCTACAGCAAAGAATAGTTAGTTCCAAAAACCACTATTACAGGGCATATTACAGTTTTATACAGAACTAATAATGAGCTACATAAGTTATCTGTCTAATGTGAACAAAACATGTTCAAAACATGATGGCCACCATTGTCTGCTACCGTCTGAAAGCGTAAAATAGCACGTTCAACGGTCGCATGCAATGTATGCCTTGGAATGTTACGCACATGTCATGGTATGCTGCCTTTATCTCATTAAGGCATTCCCAAATTTTCATGACTTTCTGATGTAATGCAACAATCAGCGGCATCCGCAAACTATTAAAAAAAAATACCAGCAGTAAGTTGCTTAACTTTCCCGGTAACATCTGGTGGCACCATCTGTTATGATATTTTATTTGAAAAACTTTTTATATTTTTAACTATTATAAAATGGCAAAAAGCTTAATTTTGAGAATAGTGATGGGTTTTATATATTAAAAAAATTTGTAAATGCTAATAACGAGTAAAGGCGCCATTAAGTCCGACTCTTATCCAGATATGACATACAACCCCCCCTCTATCTCCTTTCCCCTGGACCTTTAATCACCAAAATTTAATCGCATCAAATAATAAACCCTAAGAAATAAACCTCTCAGAGAAATTTCAATGTATATGTTATACACTCATTGCCATAAAATTAGCGCAGTAAGGAGTTGTCGTATCGCTGCGAAACTTTGCATGAAGATAAGTCTCTAGCTGATATGAAAACGATTAGAGTTATAGCGTGATGACTCATTTCGTAATGCCAGCATAGGGCGTTAAAGTGCGCTCTTCAGCCTATAAAAAAGCGCACAAAGGCATCCTGTCTGTAGTTTACCTGTTGCAGAGGGACGTTGTACATCTAGAAGTGCCTTTACGTCACAATTGATCCGTACGAAGAACTAACCGAGTTTAGTACAGGAAGGATCATCGGGTTGGGGAGCCGGATGGCACCTCGCTGAATAGCCCGTCATCTAGGCCGTTCTAACAATACTGTGAGGAAATGTTCGGATCAGTGGACGAGAAAGAGCTCGCACACGCGACGCCAGGTTCGGGATGTCCTCGATAGACGGTTAGCCTGAGAGGACCGCTGGTTCTTCGACTGGCACGCACACAGCCGAACGTATCGTTGTCCACCATCTCGGCACAGGTGGCGCCATCATTACAGATCCCTGTGTCTGTCCGTATCATTTCGAGGCGCCTGGATTAGGAACAATTGATATCGCGGCGGCCATTACATTTGTTGCCATTGACAGCCACCCACTGTCACCTTCGTTTGGATTGCTGTTGCTTTCGACAGGATTGGATCGCGACGGAATGGAACCGGGTCGTCTACATCGACGAATTCAGATTCATTTTGGGCACTGATGACGGCCGTGTTCGTTTCTGGAGGCCTCAATCCTGCAGGATTTTGAGCGGCACATTGCCCCAAAGTTGGTGTATGGTCTGGGGGTGCCATCACATACGGCAGTCGGTCACCTCTAGTAGTGATCTAAGGGACCATAACAGCCCCGCGGTATGTTAATGACAACATGCAACCACTTGTGTTGCCTCTCGTGGCAGAACTCCCGAGTGCCGTTTTCCGACAGGAAAATGCTCGACCACACGCAGGGCGTGACAGGACTGCCTCTGTCACAATGTCACACTTCCCTGGCCTGCCCGGTCTCCCGATTTGTCACCGATCGAACATGTCTGAGATCACCTGGTACGCCAAGTCTAGAAGTTTGGCTGAACTAGAGGACCGCTTGCAGTAGCTGTGGACTGAGATTCCTCAGGACAGCTACTGCACAAATAAAAATCTGCAACTTCAGAATTACCGTTCGGTTATACAGATTCGCTAATAAGTAGGGAAGAGGATGATAATATTGCTGTTTATTTAGAAACAACTTTTATGCAACTCAAATCATTTATTAGGAATAGTGAAACGTGAATAGAATTTCATATGACATTATATAAGACACAAATAACAAGTTTAGCAACGTTATTACATAATCAATTAATAATTAAAATGAATCCTTAGAGGATCTGTCATTCTTGATTCAATTGAGCCTGAAGCAGAATTCAACATTAGATATCCTTATCTTTTCAGTTTAGAATTTAGACAAGGTATTAGTGGAACTGGAATAACTAATATCTAATAAATTACATATCAATTAATATTGGAATCTCCCTGTACTAATTCTAGAAGTTTGTCTCGTTTATGGTTTCATGCCAAACACAATACCAATGTGAGGATTTTTCTATTCATTCAAACTTCAATCAAACCTCCTCCACTTTAACGAGATTTTAAAAAAAGCCGATAAATAAACAAAGATAAAAATCCTATTTTTATAATATATTTTAATATTAAATAATATTTATACTAGTTAATTAATACAGTATACTGTTTGAATTCTCTAACAATCTATAAACTGGTTTATTAATTTGAAAACATGTAAAATTATAGTAAAATTAATCTTGTATCTAACGTTATTTATTCAGCAGTTCATTGGTGTTTATCTTGTGAACGAAAATCATCTAACCAATTACAAGTTGACTTGGAATACATCCAATTTGATAACTCAAACAAGGACAGGAAAAATTCTCTTATGGTATAGCTTATACAAACATAATCTGTTATCAAGTAACATAAGGAAATGTTCGAAAGCCATTTTTTACGCCAATTTATCTAAGTGATACCATTTAAACTATGGAGAAATTTATTCATTTAGGTTTAATTATCATAACTCATTTTATAACTAGCGAATGTATATTCACAGTAAACGTACAGAAAAGTTACGATTACGTGATAGGTAAGTATTGTATTGTTTCCTGTGTTTAAATAAATTGTTTTATAGTTTACAAATAACCTCTTGTCTTGTAGTTGGAGGTGGAACTGCTGGTGCCGTCCTCGCTAACAGGTTATCCTCTAATCCTTCGATCCGTGTCTTATTGTTAGAGGCTGGTTCTGTACCCGACGAATCGTCTAACATCCCCTTTGCTACACTTTCTCTTCAGCATACGGAATTAGATTGGTCGTATAAATCCGTCCCGCAGAATTATTCGTGTTTCGGATTAAAGGAAAATGTAAGTTCATTTAATTAAATTATTAATTAAATATTTAGATGTTACACGAGAGAAAACAATGAAGATAATATGGAAAAGCTAATTTATAAATTTAAATTTTTAATTGTTAATTTTGTATTCAAAAGTTTATTAATTAACGTTTGACATTAAATATTCTCACTTAAAAATCTTTATCCAATTAAAATATTAAATCCATTTGTTCTCGAGAATGGCTTTCACGAAGGTCATAATATATAGAAAATGTTTTCCTCCATTTCTATTTTCTTGTTACTTTCGTGACATTCATATTATAATTACTACAAGTTTCTATTATGAAAAATTCATTAAACATGTTTACAAAATAATTTTAAAGTATTTTTAATGATTAAAATACTTTTTATTATTTAAAATAAATAGTATTGTATTCATTCCGACGTGGAAAACTTTTAAAATAACAAATAATTTAATAAAATTTAGTAAAATTTAGCGGATTATATAAAGTATAAAAAAGTATTTCGAATGAAACAGGTTTATCGAGAAATTAGCATAATTATGAATTATCTCAAAGAACAATGAAAGTATCGCTTTCTTGTTTATCTTTCAAAATAGAACATTTATATAATATGAAATATTAGAATAAATATGCAAATATCGTAATAAATAAACGTTTCTTTCACTCCAATCGAAAATCAATTAACGAAATCGATTTCAGTATTGAAGAAATGACAAAGATTTCACGATTATCGAGGATCTTCCATAGGCTCGCTATGGTAACTAGGGTAAATCAAAGCAAAATAAACAGTTTTAATAAATCATTTTTACTAAAATGCATTGAATATCATGGCCTATGTCATAATCTATTCCAATTAATGAATTTATATTCACATTTGAACGAAGAATATTCGTAAATTTAAGAACATATTGCATATGTATTCACATAGAAGGGTTTTAAACTGTGATAAAATATCTATAATGGCTAAAATTTACCTTTCAATGGCTTACTCCGAGTTTAACTACCGATTAGGACAGTGATGGCAATAGGGCAGTTTTAGCAAATGCCAGAAGGGCCTGTGCCAAAAATGAGCCGATACTGTTACAAATTGTTCACGTAAATGTGCTGTTTGTTGAAATTTTCACTTATTATTTATTAGTTATATTCAAATATAATTCATTAGGCACATCAATGGCCAATACTACGAATTCGGTCGTGGGTTCGCGTGGGCTAACCACGTAAAAATTTCCGGGTTTTCTCCACGTTTGTAACGCCAGTTACCCTTAAAAAAGACCACCCGAAAGGCATCCCGAAGTGTCGTGTTGCCGTTACTTAATAAACAAACAATGTAATTGATTACACAAATACTTTTTAGTTCATTTTATTGTAATACCCCTTGACCCATTTTTTTTGGAATATTAATTAATACCCAGAATCAAAACATTTCATCCATCACTTGTGATGGCAAAAATGTGACCGTCGCGACGATTCCAAGGTGCCCACATTGAAGTATTAGGTTCATAAATTATATTAATTTAAAAAAAAATATTTGATAGATCTTCAAACTTTTTAAGTATACAGTGAAAGAGAGGTCCTAAAGATATAATAAAAAGTCTTAAAGACCTCAAGATAGAAGAATTATAATCGAATAAACAGCAACCAGATTTCCCATTAAAAGAAGTATTTGTTTCATTTCTTGTATAATCACATTACTTTCCTTCAATTATATAGAGTTTACTGTTATTATTTTCATAGATTAAAAGGTTAAGTAAAGTAAAATTTCTATGTCTTTTTGTTATATTAAAATTACTCTTTTTTATATAGCATTATTTTAATAATAGAATAACGCAAGCGATTGAATATAACTGAGATATAACGTAATAATAAATTGTTTTTACGCTGAAATAAAAACAATACTGAAACCACTAACGTAAATATATCTACAACATCCTTGAATAAAATAATTTATTGTGCGTAAAGTGACAGTGACAGGTTAGTTTTTGCGCCCTAGGCAAAGTTTACAAATGCACCCCTTATTTCACAAGTAGGATATTTTTAAAATGAAATTTTAAATATAAAACAAAAATTATTTTGGCATGCTTTATTAATAATATACAATATGTAATCCTTCTAAAACAGAGCCTTTGTTTCTTTATTTCCTTTATTAATTAATTTGAAAACTCTCTATACTTAAATCTATGTGCATAATACAGTACTTTTATGAAGATAGAGGAAGTTAAAAACTACTTAGACAAATTGACACTAATTCTAAGTAATTAAAATTGAATAAAATATAACGGTTTACTATGCAGGATGACACAGAATGGTAAGGAATTGTATCGAATTACAAATTCAAATGATGGCAATAGAAAAGGTATGGGTTTACTTTATGCAGAATGTAATAGCTTATTAAGTGATAAATAATGTAAAAATTGATAAATTAATTTATAATTGTTTTAGGAAAATTCGTTTGTATACAAACCGAAACATTTTTCATTAATTTCAACGTAGAAATAAAAGAATTTTAGGCCGCTGAAACTCCAAGCAAGAATTTAAGTAGATAATAAATAATACATAAAATGGCAGCCTTGACACCAAAACGCAGTTTAATCCAACAGGGAAATTTAATTCAAATAGAATTAAACAATTGGTTCCGTCGATGTGATATTTTGTTATCAGTTTAATTAATGTTTTTAATTCTTTCCGTTCTGTGGACACTAAGAAGGCCTCTTTTAACAAGTCCATTATGGGTTCGGCCGTGCCTATAACCCCTTCTTCGGTGTCCTTGAAATGAATACATGAAGTAATATTTACAAGAAAAACTTACTTTCATGAATAATATTGATTGAGTAATTCACACCGTTATTATATTTAGAAAATATTGTTATTATTTTCTATTATTATTATTATAAGAGATTGCGATATGTACGAAAGCAATGTTTTACATTTACAGAGAAGCAGCATCCCTAGAGGAAAAGGCTTGGGAGGATGCAGTGTCATCAATTTTATGATATTTTCGAGAGGAACAAAAAAAGATTACGACGAATGGGCGGCAAATGGAGCGGAAGGATGGAGTTGGGATGAAGTTTTACCATATTTCACTAAATGGGAAAATAATAAGGATGCTTCCATAGCTTCAAATGGTATGTTTCACTGATAATATATATATATATATATATATATAAACTCTTCTATACTTTGAAATTTACATAACCGCGCTATTAGTAATTTTTCTGTACTCTTTTAAAGAAGATAGAACCAGTTCATGACCTGATACAACATTAATTTTTCCAATATTAAATAATACTTTTTAAGTTATAAGAGATTGGGTTGAATTTCAGACTTTCTTTTAATGAAACTTTCAGTGTTTATAGCTTTTCAGGTCGTATTTAAAATGTATTGTATTATTACTCTAAAATGTGAACGTCAAACAATTCATAATGTTTTTCTTATCAGGTTATCATGGAGTTAATGGCGAAATGTCTGTGTCGTGGACAAATTACTATACTCCTTTAGCTAAAGCGTATGTAAAAGGAGCTAAGGAAGTCGGTTATAAAGAGGGAGATTATAATGGACCCGATCCCGAAAGTATAGACTTTAATTTTTACATAATAATATATCAGATTTATATATTATTTATTAATTAATGTTTACGGAATAGAATTTATGATACCTCAGGCATATGTGGACAAAGGTAGACGATTCACTACTTACGAAGCATTCCTAAAACCTATAAATCACAGAGGAAATTTGCATATCGTTATCGATGCTTTCGTTACAAAGGTAATACATTAATGTTTATAATTTCTTTAAAAAAATTTAAATTCATATTGTCATTATAAATTCATAATGACGTTTTATTGTCTTTCAGATATTATTTGATTCAAATAATAGAGCATCGGGTGTCCAGTTTGAACACAAAAACACAATAAACGAAGTCAGAGTTAAGCGTGAAGTAATTTTATCAGCGGGTGCCGTAAATTCTCCACAGATCTTAATGTTATCGGGGATTGGTCCTAAAGATCATCTAGAGAAATTTGGGGTATTTACTACCTTAAAAACTAATTTGACTTAGCGTGAAGGATTCGATTGACAAAGTATTATATTTTTAATTTCAGATAAAGGTTTTGTCCGATCTTTCTGTTGGTTACAATTTACAAGACCACGTTACAGTTGGCATTCCTTTCACTGTGGACAAACCTGTAACATTCATTGTCTTTGATGCCGTTCTGCTTGGAATTTTGCCATATTTCTTCAGGAAAGGTAATACTAATCTAACCTAAATTTGATAAATAGCGATGGTAAGAGATGTGGAAAGTGTAGTTTATTTTGAACAGTTAAGGGTCAATGTTAAGGGTCAAATCAAAAGACATTTACTGATCGGTAGAGAGAGAGAGAGAGAGAGAGAGAGAAAGGAAGAAACAGATTCATTACTATAAAAGCCTTTTATATTGTCTTTCGCCTGGTTTTCTTTAATGAGAACTGATTGTACGATATTTTTCCTATAAACCATGTGTCACTGTTTGTGGTGCTAGTGTTCTGAATCAACCCGAAAGACTGTAGCTGTGTTTTATTTTTTATAGATTAAATTAAAAGTTACTACATAAAAAAATTAAACTTTTAAATATCTCTTAGGCAAATGAAAGCAAGCCAAAATATCAGATTTTATGAAAAAAAAGTACACAAAAAAACCAAGATGTTGCCAATACTTCAGCAAGAAAGCTCAAAAGATTTTTTGCCAAAAAAAAGGATAGTTTAACGGTGTTTGTCAGCGAAGAAAATAATTATAATAATAGTTAATGTGCAATACTTTTTATTGTGTTTGTCAGTTAATTATTTATTGATTTAATAAGCATATTTCACTTAATTAAGAAGAAAAATGGTATACATTTGCTAACTTTTGGAACCTAACCTTAAGTTTTGTATTAGTCATTTATTTCGTATAGCGCGGATTCGCTTAATACGACATTTTTTCAGAACCTAATTACCATGTTATACGGGGTATAACTATAGTGTTAGTGTTTATTAGTTATTAGTGTTTACTTATTTTTATAAAACTCATTTCCAGCCTCAAAATTAAGCTTTTTAAAATTTTATAATAATTAATAATATAAAAGTTATTTTTTAAACAAGTTGGCGCTACAGATAATTTTAAGCTCTTTTAGAGTTTTGTTGCCGGAAAAGTTACATAACTCATTTCTGGCTTTTTGCCAGTTTGGTAAAAAAAACTGGCTTTATCATTTTAAAAGGAATTCACGCTAGTTTTTACGTTAAATACATTATAAATAGAAACAATTTCGAAATAATTACTTATCTTAAAAACATAATTTTCGTATTTTCTCTACACTTTACACTTCTAACTTTTTATTTGAAATGTTTGAATTCAGGACCCCTTACCTCTATAATGGCAGAAACAGTTGGTTTCCTTAGTACTAAATATAATAATCATTCACAATGGCCAGATATAGAATTGACGTTTGGTTCAATTACTCCATCATCTGATGGTGGAATCATATCAAGACATAATTATGGAATCACAGATGAGGTAAAAGTATATTTATTAATGATTTACATTCTTTTATTCAGAGAATGAATTTATTAAGATGATTCTTGAATTGAACAAATATATTCAATTTTTTAGATGTGGGAAAAAGTTTTCAAACCGAACATTAATGTCAGTACTTACATATGTTTTTCATATGTAATGAGACCCGAAAGTGTTGGTACTGTTAAACTGGCATCAACAGATCCTCACGAACCTCCACTTATTAATCCTAATTACTTTCACAAGCCTCAAGACATCAAAGTTTTACTTGAAGGTTAGTTCTTAATTATTTTATCGAAATATGAATAGATTTCTTATAAAAATTTTCTTTTCTGGTAGGGATGAAAGCGTGTTTAGCAATTAGTTCTTCAAAGGCCATGAAGAAATTCGGTGCTCGACCCTTCCGTCAACTTTTTCCAGGTTGTGAGACGTATAAACCATATAGTGACGAATATTTAGAATGTTTGGCTAGATCATTCACTTTGACTAATTATCATTTAAGTGGAACTTGCAAGATGGGTAATCCTCGAGATCCCACAACAGTAGTGGATCCACAGTTGAGGTAATTGGCGTTATTCCTCTCTATCTTAAAATTTTCTGCAGTAAAAACAATATATATAAAATTTTACTGTTTACACAGAGTAAAAGGAGTTAATGGTCTTAGAGTAGTCGACGTATCCATTATGCCAACAATTGTTACAGGCCACACTGAAGCCCCAGCCATTATGATCGGAGAGAAAGGGGCTGATTTAATTTTAAACGATCTCGGTTAATGTTACAATAAGAGTAATAAATAACTGTATAAATAATACAGATTCAGACTTAAAATAACTGTCTAAATCATGTGATGTTATATATTAAAAAAAAATGGAAAATTCCCAATAAGTTTCTGTAGTTTTTTTTTTTTGCCCGATTTCGACGTCATAAGTCGATTTTTTGGGTATTTTATATTGTATTAGATTCAATTTTATATTCACAATGTAATAACCCATTGAATTTCATAAGGTTATAATTAGATTTATTTTGTGACGACATTTTGAGATAGTTTCTTCACTAATGAAACTTGTGGTAACCGATGGTAATTTGTATTGTACATACTCCATTATTTATCTACTTATTGAACTCGGTTCACATTTTAGTTTACTGTGTTAATCACAATTGTCGGATTACTACTGGACGTGTCGGGCTGTCAAATTGAAAGACTGCTATATTGAACAGTGTTGTTTTGGTTCATATTTTATGTAATTGTCTTCGTTTTTTCCAAAAGACCTTTATATTTTGTGATAAACTTAATGTAAAATTGAATTTTTGAATTCGGCAACAGAATTGAATGTACTTTATGCTTTTATAAAATTAAATAATAAATTTCCGTATTTTATATTTGTCTAATAATCTAAACTTGGCTTTAGAATCTTGGATTTCTGAAACCAAGTTTAATTTATTAGACAAATTGTTTGATTACTTCCTCCGAAGAGCTTGGCTTCAGAGGAAGTAATCAAACAATTTCTATTGAAAGTATGTCTAAATAACATTTAAAACGTTGACATAACGGATAGGATTAATATCCTAACGGTGTCCTCCAGTGGCCAAGCGGTCTTCGTACCTTGAACATTAGGAGTTCAATTGTGGTTTCGCGCCTCGCTCGGACGGGTTAGCCACGTATTTTTCGAGTTTTCTCCACGTCTGTAACGCCTAAATAGGGGCCAGCTTTCCTTAACAGAAATCTCTGGGAGAGCACCCCCTTCTAGGAAGCTCGCTCAAGTGTTGCGTTTCAATAACTTAACAACAATATCCTAATATACAGAATAAAGATTATTTATATATGTTGCAGTCAAAACCCGTTTTTAGTTAGAACGCGTTGAAACTAGTTTATACTGGATGTCTTTGTTAAAACCCGTTTTAACTTAAATTCATTTTTGACTAGCAGTAAATTCTGCTTTTAACTAGACAAAACGGGTTTTTCTAGTTAATTTACTGCTGTACATGTTTTGATTTTAGATAAAACTAGTTTTAACTTTTAAAATTGGTTAAAACTAATTTTAGCTACATAAATATGTTTGGGGGAAATAAATAAAGTAATGTATAGTGATTCGGGGGAAGATGCCTAACATTTTGCTTATGAAGAAAATTATAGCGATAATTTGGGTTTTGGAGTTCTCTAATGAAAATATCATATTCTGGAGTATGTTTTTCAAATAGAACTTTGGAGTTTATATAAAAAAATTTGTATATTGTGTTTGCAATGACGACTTTTTCACTGTCTGGCATTTTAGGCATCTCACCCCAAGTATCCGGGTGAGATAACAAATATAATTGCATAAAATTAGTTTTTGAATTTCTTAACCAAATTTAATTTATTGCACATGTGGTAAGAAGTACTTCATAGCAATTATAACAGCACAGTATAAGTATTGTTAAGTTTCCGCCCGTTCTAACACGCTCTATAGCTATCTGAAAGCTTTTATCAGTCAAAAAACCTTTTTGAGAAGTCCTTATATAATTTCTATGCATATCCTGCAATAAAACGAGAAAACAAAAATTTATTAAAAATAGGCATATTGGAATTCAATTAACAAAAAATAGGCATGTTACCCCAAGAAAAATGTGGCATCTTTTCCATTTGTTGGGGTAGGATGCCTAGTGGAGTCACGTGCTCTAGCATGTCCGATCGGGATCGGCGGTAGCTGACAATGGAAACTTTAGAACCTTAACTACATCACACATTAATTTTTTTCCGCGATTTTTAATAAATTCTATTTTAACTTTTAGTTTAAAATTACTCTACAAACATTTCAGAACAAAAACTTCGTTCCTATCTAGCTTTTATTCTTCTCAGATGTAGAAAATGAAGTAACGGTAGCAAACTACAGCTTTCCGCACTGAATATTGGCCCGACGATTCATCGTACAAATACATGACAATACGTGACGTCACCGTTTAAAAATATCAAAAATTAGGAATCTTCCCCCGCTTACCATCTTACCCCGAATCACTCTGCATGTTGACAAAACCAGTTTTTAGTTAGGATACGTTTTAACTAGTTGAAACTAGTTTATATTGGATGTCTTTGTTAAAACCCGTTTTGTCTAGTTAAAACGCGTTCTAACTAAAAGTGGGTTTTGACTGCAACATATCTATATATATACAAGTCGACCCCACTATAACACTGTTGATTTTTCCGTTTTATATGAATTCCATGTTGTACGAGTCACTTAGATTTTACAAATACGTGCGCCGGGCTGTGAACGGCTCACGNTTTTTACTCATGGAAAGTGTATAGATAGGTATAACTGTATTTTTGTTTCATATTTCCAGTCAAGCCTTACTGGTATCATCTAATTTGTAATAAAAGAAAATAAATACTGAATACACAGCAATAAACACTTGTGTGTATGCTGGGGAGACGCCATTGCATGCAAACCCCAATAGGGGAAGAATCTATATATATAACCCATTCAACGGGTGTCTGTCCGCCTAACCATTTGATAACGGACACTAGAGGTGCCCCTATCGTGTGTCATATTTCAAACATTCAAATTAACAATTTTAATTATTATTTAAATTAACAACATAAATTATTATTATTCATTTGGCCCATAAATTATTATTTGGTCAATATAACAATATAAATAATTCAGTATATTTGTAATAGGAATTTATTATTTCAGGGGCTTATACAGTATCTCGCGAATGGTCGCGAGTAGGGGTATGGTTCCTTTGACTTTATTGTTCGCACAGGGCTACAGTTTGGGGGTCGCCACGTCTTCATTCGCAGGGTAAATCTTACCATTGGGACTTTAACAGAGCTATACAGCATATTAATAGGAACAAAAAAGTCAAAGGAACCGTGCCTCATGGAAATTTGTAAATAACGCCCACTAGCGGGCGTCCCAGGCTACTAGTATAATTTAAAAAGTTTAATGATTTAAACAAAAGTATATTTGCTTACGTGGGAAACAGCAGTACAAATTCCTGCTTGAACCTTCAAAACTATAAGATAACATTATTTAGAATAAATGAAAATACAGATGATTCTCTATTAGCAACTGAGTCATGCCAGTTATATATATAACTCTTTTCAGGGATAAATAATTAAATTGAAATAAAGTATATAGTTAATCTTGGCCTCCCGTTCCCGTGCTTTCCCTACCTTGTCTCGACTTTCATCTCCCTAACTCCGTTCTTGAGATTAAGGGAAGACAGACGGACGGATGGCAGAGGGAATTTATAAGTCTACAATTTTTTTAAAATTGCAGCCCAAAAACGGGATTATTTTATCTTTTACGTGAAATATTTCAAATCGATTAATGTTTTGACGTAACGCCTGACGTATTTGTCGAAATATAAAGTAACGAATTGTTGAAATCTATTGTTTTATTTTCAATTGTCCGTCTTCATTGTTAATTAATTAAGTGGAAAATTTCCCGTTCTTTTCTGAGATTTTTCCGAAGAATTGTAATAAAGTAAACTTCAGTAACGTAAGTAAAATTATTATTTTTTGGTTTATAAAAAATCAAAATGGAATAACTCGCGATACAAAACATATTTTCTGATTTCAAATTTCAATGAAAATATGCGATCTTTTTCAAAATTAACGTTGAATTAAATTAGTTTATTAGATTATAAATAAGATTATATATATATCTATAGTTATATATTTGTTTAAATGTCATAATAAATAGGTACATTCTACGTAAGTGTAAGATATTACTTGATACAGGCGGTCTGAATTGGAAGTCCTGTGTAGACTGAGGAGGTCCAAGAAGGTCGTCTCGCTCGGAAGAATATAATTGACATTGGTTAATTATTCGAAAATAAAACGTCTAGCTATATCCTTACAATAAAATATTAGCGATAACAAATTCTTAGCTTTAATTATATGCTAATAGTTTATTTATTATCATTTATACTCATTTATAAATTATTTTTAATTAGATTTAATTTTTTATTTTAAATTTTTTTACCTTCTAATGAAAATTAGAAATAACTTTTTAAAACTGATTAAATTAAAAACAGAGAACCCAAAACAGCGATAACAGGAAACTCATCCAATGGTGAGTCAGCCGCATCACATATGCAAATGTTCCTTCTGTAATTACATAAAAAACTTAATGAATCACATCTTACTTGCATTAATACGACCATAACATTAGAAGAAAAATTACTATCATAAATAGAACAATCAAAAAAAGAGTTTATTCAAACTCTTATACCACTCACAATAAGAACTTAATAATATACTATGATTCAACTTCGAAATATAATTATCAAAATTATTTAACTTTAATAAATAAACACAGTTAACATCTTGTAACAAATTATCAAAATCGATTCCGTTCCTTGAACAATACTTCGATCAAGGTAACTCAATTGTTTCAAGACAGAACGTAAACAAATCTTACTAAGGCGTTCTTCGTTTAAACTTAACGTTCTAAAAATCCAATTAACACATTTGTTCAAGATCAAGCAAGATAAAGGAATCAATGAACACTCTATAGACACTAGATAACCAGGAGTACACCTTGGAAGCCCATACAATCTCTTAACAAAAGTAAGTAATACTGTATCCAAGTTCTCCGCCTGAAACCCCCACACCTCGGAAGCATAAAGAAGAGATGAGCTCACCACAGCATTAAACAACCTTAACCGATCCTTCAAATTACACAACTTAGCAGACTGACACACATGAATAACTTTGTCCATTTTTATCTCTGCATTAACTTTACAGAGTCTGACGTGAGTATTAAAATAACCATTACTTTTAAAAATTACACCTAAATACAGTACTTATATTGTGATACAACCGAAATTGGAACACCTCGGAACCATCATTTGTCAGCCTTAGAAGCCTTACCACCATTTCGAAAGACCACAGTTTTAGATTTTGCGAGATTCAATTGTAAACTATTATCCTTTAAATATTTATCCAGAAGGTCAGTCGAACCTGTGTAACGACACCTCGGAGAATCCTCCACGATTACCACGTCACCCGCATACGCTAATATCTTAACAGAAACACCACCAACAACTATAACATCTCCGCTGGAATCATCAATACACTTCAATAAATCATTTTAAAATAAACTAAAAAGAATAGGGCTTAGAATGCAACCCTGTTTAACATCCTTATCAGAAAAGAAAGGTTGAGAACAACAATTCCTCCATCTACATTCTTGAGCCACTCTGTCAGGTGATCCAGTCTTCTGATAAATTCATCAACCTTACCATTCAACGAAACATGCAATCGCAATAGAAGCCTAACTCCTGCCACATCAAAAATGATCCTCTTCACCAGAAGTCTTACCCCTAAACCTAGCTGTTGGCGGTTGGAGAAAAGGTCTTCCTCTTCCGAGCCTGGGACATATTTATAAACTAGACTTACCTAGATAAAGGAAAAACAACAGTTTAAATCACTTGTTCAAAGAGAAAATCGGATAGTCTCCCCGAGTTATGATTAAGTTCAAAATATTAAAACTTATCTTTCGTATTTGCTAAAACTTTCTTTTCTAATGAAATTTTGTTTTTATATCGGATTAAAATTAAATACTGCATGTTGTATTTATTGTATCTTAAACATTTATAATTAAAATTTTTCTTTTTATTTACTTAGATGGGCCATTTTTACTCTATTCTAATCACCTTTTTTTCCATTGGAGACCTCCAGAATCTTTGTGAAACCATCAGAATCTTTGTGAGACCATCAGAATCTTTGCGGGACTATCAGAATCTTTGCGAGACCATCGGAATCTTTGTGGGATCATCAGAATTTTTGTGGGACCATCAGAATCTTTGTGGAAATTACAATCAGAAAAATGTGGTCTTAATGAAGCCTCGTTCCTTCGTTTAATCTCCATTCTCTTTGGCAATTCGCATGTGTTATAGCAGCGGTATAAACATACAAGACATTCTTCTTAACACGAGCGTTGAACAAAGACAGAAGGCACCAACACCGGTTAACGTGCTTCAGTTTGCCCTTTTTCTATTACAGTAAAATGTAAATAACAAGTTTTCTTTATTCTAAAAGATGTTCGTTTAGTATTTTCAGTGAACGTATATTTCATTGGCCATATTCGTCCATTTGTTTTATTATGGCCTGGATGTACTTTTAGGTTATTAGCTTTCATTGTTACTTGTAGCTTAGATAGATTGCATCCAACTCGTTTAGATAGTAATAATAAGGTAAGTTTCGAATAGTAAATATTCAGAAGTAATTATTAATATTTTATAGTGCGAGTTAGGACGAATGAAACTCGATAAGTGATGTTAATCACTTGTGGAGTTGCATCCTTTCTAACTCTCGGTGGAACTCTTACGCAGCCACCTCCACGTGGTGAGTTCTGGGTTGTCGTTCTTATGGAAATGGCGAAGGACAAGCGAAGAGCTGCGTGTTTCTGTTCAACTTAGTATTATATGAACAAATTTAAATAAGTGAATACACGTAAAAATAACAAAAGTAATAAAATTAATTAAAGTTAAGAGAATTAAATGTTGTGTCTTTGGTATAACGGTTGTAAAAAATTGTTAACGTTCTTTTCCCACTATTTATAGGGAATAAATTCTATTTGCGAATTCGATGATGAAATATATTATAAAATTATGTAGGCTATTTTATCTATATATATAAATGAGTATTTATGTATGTATGTATGTTTGTTTGTTTGCTGTACACTCTCAGGCCTTTCGACCAATTGATACGAAAATAGGCAGTTACATTTGAATACTTCTAACTTAGATAATGTCGTTCATACTACCTCAAAATATCGATTTGGATTTCTATAAATCAATTAATTTCTATATACATTCTATTTACTGGATTTACACGTAGCGCCATCTATTAGCAAAATCTTTAAGAAAATAATAAACTGAATATATTTCTTTTAAAAAAGTATAATATTTTAAAAAATATATATTATATTTACTTTACTGTGACAATGATATAGCACGAAATATCATTACTAAAACAGGTATCACTTGCCTGTGTGGAATCGAAAGTGTTACCTTGTGACTATCTCCATATATTCTACTAACTAAACAAAACCAATTGTCTAGAATGCACCTCTACTTGAAGAGAACTACGAGTAACACAGAATCTATAGTCCAAAATGATTCTAGCAATAGTAGCAGTATTACTACTGACAACACAAGTATATCTCCTAATAAAGGGAAAAAAACCGCAGGCAATATGACGTGTTTCAGTCGTTAATTAAGGTTAACAAGGTTAACAAGTTCGATCACATGCGAAGCCATCACAACCTGTCCAACACAGATCACTTTTCAAATATTAATACTAGACCAGTATTAGAAGCAAGATTTTCTATAATCGAATGTCATCTTTACTTCGCGACCCCCGAAAACTAGAACTTATACGAGTATATTAAATAAGCGAATTTTATGAACTTACGTGCTCGTGTACAATACCTTATATGTTTTTCATGTTTTTACAATCGAACCGACACGCAATTAATCATAATCAGTTACAAAACCTTTTAAATATCAAACAATAAAGAAATGTCCTCCATTACGAAACACCAATTTCTTTGTTTTCTGAAAATGAATAAAAAAATCAACGTATAATCAAATAATAAAACAGGATTCTTTTGTAAAGATGGCTTCGAGTCTGCTAGTAATAATACATTATCTGCACATACAAGACAATGAAGCTTATCCGTGACTTTTAGGTAAAAACCCGAAAGATCAGAACGATGAAATATCTTTGGAAGATCGTTTATGAACAAATTAAATAAGAAAGGGCTTAGTGGTTGTTTCTGAGGTAAACCTCTAGTAGATATCTCCAGAGGGGATGACGAATATTCGTATTAGTATTTATAATGTTTTAGTAAAAATCATCTCGAAATTAAGTTTTTTGCCATTTCATAATAATTAAAAATATAATAAATTTTCAATGATAAAATTCCATAACAAATGACGCCACACACAATTTAATTTATTATGTTTAATAATATAAAAGTTATTTTTTAAATAAAACTTCATAACAGCCGAAAAAGTTACGCAACTTTTTGCTGGGTGTTTTTTTTTATAATGGCGAAATATAAATGATTTCAAATTGGAGAAATATGCACTCGTAAAGAAAGTATTAAGATTTTCAGCCTCCATTATATAATTTTTGAAGAGATGATAATGGTTTGGATATTTACTTAAAACTATTTTTGTCCTAATTGCCTGATTGTAATTTGAGATTGCAGCGGGTGTGGGTCGAATCAGCGTGTTAGTGAAATGGCAATTTAAAATAGAGACAGCACTAACTAAACTTTATATAGGTTAATTTATACGTATAATAAAATTTGTGTTGACTTTAATTAAATATAAACATACACGAAAATTATCTTGAAGTTACCAATAGGACATCTTTACTCTGATTTTTAAAACTCTTTCAGTCTTTTAGGCCTTATCTGATGAAAGTATTGGATGAAGAACCAAACACGTTCTGTTACAATATATCGTAACAGAATGTGTTACGTGTTACAAACTTGGATAACTTCAGTTATATTTTAATTAAATACTTTTTGTTCATCGTTCCTCGAAATCAAAATGGCAATGGAGATGAAGAATGTATGAAAACTATTTGATTTTGGCATGGAGGAATGTCGAGGAATGATGTGATATAAAAGAAGTTTTGATTTAAGACATATTCTTAGTCCATTTAATTGTTTCTTCTTTAACTATAATATTGACTTTAAAATTTATTGTTTTTAATCGAAGATAGTCTATAACAGTAAATATAATTCAGTCTATGAAAATTTGGCTATCATTACATTTTTAAATCTTGATTTTTCTTGTAATTAATTGTTACTCGTGTTTCTAACATTAACGGAGATCGCTTAAGATTAAATCTGCCCCTTTCTCTCCGATCATGATGGCTGGAGCTTCAGTGTGGCCTGAATTAATCGTTGGCATAATGGATACATCGACTACTCTAAGACCTTTTACTCCTTTCACTCTGTATATAAACAAGAAAAGATCATATACTTTGTTATTGCAGCATAGTTCGAGAGATAGGAATTATGTAGATTACCTCAACTGCGGATCTACCACCGTAGTCGGATCTCGAGGATTACCCATCTTGCAAGTTCCACTTGGATGATAATTAGTCAAAGTGAATGATCTAGCTAAACATTCTAAATATTCGTCACTGTATGGTGTATATCCCCGACAAGCTGGAAAAAGTTGACGGAATGGTCGAGCACCGAATTTCCTCATGGATTCTGAAGAAGAAATTGCTAAACACGCTTTCATCCCTACAAGGAAAGAAAATTTTTATAAGAAATCTATTCTTATTTCGTTAAAATAATTAAGAACTAACCTTCAACTACAACTTTAATGTCTTGAGGCTTATGGTAGTAATTAGGATTAATAAGAGGATATTCACGAGGATCAGTTGATGCCAGTTTAACAGTACCAACACTTTCGGGTCGCATTAAAAGTGGGAAACATAAATAAGTACTTGTATTAACGTTCGGTTTAAAAACGTCTTCCCATACCTAAAATCAGAAATATTCATTATTATATAGAGGAATCAATTTTATTAAGATGTAAATCATGAATACTTTTACCTCATCAGTCAGACCATAATTATATCTTCCAATAATTCCACCGTCGGATGATGGGGTAATCGAAGCAAACATAAGTTCTATATCTGGCCACTGTGTATGATTATTATATTTAGTGCTTAGAAACCCAACTGTTTCTACCATTATAGAGGTAAGTGGTCCTAGAAGCAATTATTAAAATATTCGTGTTTTAAATGCTTATCTCTATTCATGATTATAAAAAAATTCTATAAATTATAAAATATTTTACAAAATGGCCTTAAATACTGAAGATTGGTTGAGAACTTTGCTCGGTGCTTCATTGGTGTTGAATGTTTGAATAGATAAACGAGTACTTTAAGTGATTTATAGAAATCAGTAACTAAATCCGAATATGTTATTTCATTTTTTTTCTATTTTATGCTTCTATTCCAGGCTTTTGCAATACACGAAGAATGTTTTGATATAAATAAACACAAAAATTGCTCAAGTTCTTTGCTGACAGAGCTTTAGTCCCTTACTAGCTGTTACCCGCGACTTCGCCCGCGGAGGTTTTGCAAGCAAACCCTATTTATAATAAACTAATAAACTATTAAAAAGTATACCAATAATATATTCAGTTCAATCTGGGTAATCCGACCTACTGTATATGGGACCGGAAGAGTGTCGAATTTTCGGAAGGCTAAAAAAAGACACTCTTATTGCCCACGGGGAGAAGAGAACCTGGGCATGGATGAATTTTCATGACTATACTTCCTTGTACGTTTGTCAAAGCCTCATGAATGCCTCAGTTTGCCGAAACGAGATCATTGTGCCCATTGTGATACTGTTTCAAGCTGCTATTAGACATGAATTAACTTTTTGATGACAATGAAACTCGTCATTTTGCCAGGAGCGTGCATTAATGGCCTTAAAATCGTGGGATTGAATCATTACAGCTTCTTCGAGATTTCCTGAAAACAGTTGGAAAACCACGTCCATACATCTGTACACTGTCAGATCTCAGTAGCATGTTATGTTATGGAGCTCTGTGATATGGAACGAACTCCCTCAGACAGTCATCAATAATGTCATTGCAATTATGTCTCTTAGGTGTTCGGACGTTCTCGACACTGAAAATGTAGTTTTACCAGGCACTGGGATTCAGAAATTTTACTTATTTGTCTATATTTCAGTGGCACATTGTTGTGTGAAGAAAGCTCACAATACATTGTTATATTATTCATAATAACATACGATAAAAACTTTTAGCATCAATACTTAACAAATTTATATTTAAATGTTTTACCTTCTCCAAAATAAAATGGCAAAATTCCGAGCACAACAGAATCAAAAACATTAAAGGCTACGGGTTGGTCTACGGTAAAAGGTACACCAACTGTAACGTGGTCTTGTAAATTTTCACCAACTGGTAGATTGGATATAACTTTTATCTAAAATTTACAATACAGTATATAAATATAAAGATTTTAACTCTAAATAAAAACTTTTTTTTAAACTAATAAATACCCCAAATTTCTCCAGATGATCTTTAGGACCAATTCCCGATAACATTAAGATCTGTGGAGAATTTATGGCACCCGCTGATAAAATTACTTCACGCTTAACTCTGACTTCGTTTATTGTGTTTTTGTGTTCAAACTGGACACCCGATGCTCTATTATTTGAATCAAATAATATCTGAAATACAGAAAGGCGTAATTTTATAAAAACAATAAAAATATGAATTTAAATTATAAGAAAAATTNATATTATTGTTGTTATATAAAGAAGGACATGGTTTCAACACAGAGAAAATATAAATTTTATTTAACTCGTGTACAATAGAGTTTCTATATCCCATCACTTATCTGTCCAACATGTCCAGTAATCTGACAATCTGCTGTAAACACCTGCTTGTCCAATATGTGTGGATTACAGAGACTCTACTGTATATAGACTCATCTTTATATAAGTTATTAAAGAATTAAAAATTAAATTATTCTGCAATTGAACTGAAACAATCTGCTGTAAACACCTGCTTGTCCAATATGTGTGGATTACAGAGACTCTACTGTATATAGACTCATCTTTATATATATTATTAAAGAATTAAAAATTAAAGTCTATACTTTCGGGATCGGGTCCATTATAATCTCCTTCTTTATAACCGACTTCCTTAGCTCCTTTTACATACGCTTCAGCTAAAGGAGTATAATAATTTGTCCACGACACAGACATTTCGCCATTAACTCCATGATAACCTGATAAAATTACATAAAATTATTAAAGTTTTATGTTACAATATTCAATTCAATTCAATTCTGTATTGTATCAACCTTAGTTTGTTACAAGAGGGTTAAAGTAGTAAATTACAGTCGAACCCCCTATAACACTGTTGATTATTCCGTTTTATATGAATTCCGTGTTGTACGAGTCACTTAGATTTTACAAATACGTGTGCAGAGCTGTGAATGGTTCACGTATTTATAAAATCTAAGTGACTCGTACAACACGGAATTCATATAAAAACGGAATTATCAACAGCAATAACAATCTTCATTTTATTGTGATAACTAATTGCCCATGCAGGAGCAGCGTAAAGTAACATAGATGAAATCATCGAGTGAAATAATTTTATATAAATATGAAAAGAATTAATTTTAGCTTTTGAAAGAACAGATCACATAGAACCCAGTGCCATTTTAGCCTTATAAATACTATAATTTTTAGCCTGTATAAACTGCCCAGAAGATGAAAATGATACTCCCAGGTATATGTAATTCGAAACGACTTGTATAGTCTGATTATTTAAAGACCATCTCTCTCTCTGGGCGTAATCTATTACCCTTCTTCAACACCATTACTTTTGTTTTTGAGACATTTATAATGAATCCATAGTCACAACAGAATTCCTCTAAAATTGTGACTATGTTTTGTAACATTTGTGGAGTATCAGCAAAGATTACAGTGTCGTCAGTATACATTAATACACGTAACTCAACTTGAACAGAGAAAGAAATCTCTGGTAGGTCAGATTTAGCAAGTTGCACTATCAAACTATTAATGTATAAATTAAAAAGCAGTTGGCTCTCACCCTGCAAAACTCCAATGTCAATACCAAATAAATCAGTCATTTTGGCTAAATTTTACTCTTGCAGTAGCTTTGAAGTATAAGCCAATTATAAGGCCAAGAAACTGCATACACACCCCTTTTTTTGTATATTGTAATAATCGAAAGCACAAAACATTACACTGAGCCTCATTACCCAGCCATGTGGAGTAATGGGAACCATCATAGAAAAACATTAAAAAAACTGAAACGTTAGAAATGTATCTTTAAAAACTAGAAAACTAAGTTTTTGCATATAAATTATTAATTTTTTATATTTATTTTCAAAATAGTTTGTGTATTTAATAATAAATTAAAAACTTTAATCAGTCAATACAAATGTAATCATCTGGAGAATCAAGCCCACTACATTCAGAATGTGCTCAAGCAGCGAATCTGTACCACTTAATTCTTTGTTTCTACCAAATTCTCCACAGATGATGCAGGTATTTTTACCATTGCTTACGTCTATGTCCTCGTCTTCATTATCACCAAAGATCTTTCTCATCATAATCCAACAAAAATTTTTCTCATCATAATCCTCCTCATCTGTTGATTCCTCATTAAATGCTAATTTCTTTTTATGCTTTCCCTTTTCCTTTTCTAATTCGGTTCTTCTTACAGGGAGTTTTGAATTTTTATCTCTTTTCTTCTTTTTCTTCTCCCTGTACAAACATTTCATGTGTGTTTTCGTAAGAACTTCAGAATGTTGCTTCTTTCTTTCTATTTTTATCTTCTTTGATGGGCCAGGAACCAGAGAAATCTCAACTGGAACAATGGTATAAGTGGTGGAATGTTATTCTTTGTCTTTTATAGTGATAGACATAGTGTTTTCTGTTTTATTTGATTCTCGTTGAGCCCCATTAAAAGCTTGATATTTGTAATAGTATATATGAAAATCGAGCTTTTTGTCATGTTCTACACGGCATGACTAACTTTTCCAAAGTAATATGGATTTATGTTTTTAAACGTAATACGAACATTGAACACTGAAGCTGTATCGAGGAATAAACCGGTATGTTCCTCGATGGCTTGAAACACAAAGAATGTCTGATTTATTTTGCCTCATTGCTCCAGTAATTGTTAGCCATTCTTCTTTAAGATGTTCGGCAATATCAATGCTTTTCACGCGTGATGTTTTAACAATGCTTCAAAATCGAATGACATAGCAAATTTACGATGTCAAAGATGCTTTCACATCGTAAATTTGCTATGTCATTCGATTTTGAAGTTCCTTCCTTGCACGTTGATAAAGAAACCCAAATATCTGCAGTAGCAAATAAAGAGATCAATAAAAAAAATCCCATCATCTGGAGGAACTAGATGCAGTTCCATCTACTTTTGGAACCAACGGTTTCACCCAGAGCACTCCCAAAGAGAAAGGTTACACAACAAATAAGTAAGAAAGGAGAAATCCGAAATAATAGCAAGCTGGCCTTTTAAGAATAATTAGAGTCAAAAGTAGAAGATATGAAGAGAAAATATCAAAGAAGACAGAAACAACAAAATCGGGAAAAGTTACTCATAAATTATTTTATACGGATAATGTCATTCCTGATCCGAAACAGGAGAGTTCAGACTAAAGGAAGAGTACGAAAATCATCCATGTGAAGATTGGAGAATGTTAATTTAATTTTAATTTAATGAAAAATTGTGATTTTTCTTATTAAAATTCTGTTTTTCAATACATACTTTCTATAGCTTTTCATAAAAACCTTGTCTTGCAAACTCTTACCCTATCGTGTATAAACTTTTTCCCCACCGGTGAGACAAAAGTGCTCTTTTCTAACCTTTTAAAACAAGTATATTAAATTAAATATATTGAAAATATCAATAAAATCGTACGGAATCTTAAAGAAGATAGTTTGAGAATTATTATGCGTATATTTCAAGATTTTCACCCTCCAAAAACGAATTTATATTGTATAAAATACTAAGTGCGTACTCTTGTAACCCTCTCCTCTATTTAATTACAAAAATACAGTAACTATTTACAAGTTAATTTATATATATAAATGGAAATAGTCGCTTGGTTAATTTGATTAAGATCACACATCTAAGGATTTATAAATTTCGAGGCCGAAAGAATTTCTTTCGGCCTCGAAATTCTTCTCAAGAATACACAAAACAAACTTTATGGACGGGCCCCACGCAACGTTGTTTGTCCAGTCAAACGTGTCAGATAAACGTTTCGTGCAACCGGTATTTAATTAAGAATAATTTAATTTAAAAATAAATTGAAAAAACAAAAGAAGATATTACTTGAAAATATTAAGTTGTATTGCATAAAAATAAGCTAATGAAAATAGTTCTGATGATGATAAAGTCCTTGTTTTTTTTTTTTTTTTTTTTTTTAGAAAAGGAAGTTCTATATTTTAAGCTTTCTACTATCATTTTGATAATATAAACATATTATTAACTATAAAAACTATTGAACAACCTGATCAACGTGATTTTCTTCACGTTCTGAATACTTAATTAGGGGCAGAAAGTCCTCCCGAGAGGCATATACGAATTGCTTTTTCGATTCTGAACGGGTTCAATTAGATTCTGAAGGAATTCAATCCCAAGTATCTGAAATTGCTGCCTTGAAATCATGAATTGTGGGAAAACTGCTTTCCATTGGCATAAACTTACGAACCATCATCCCCCAAAGATCTTCCATCGAATTCAGGATCAGGGCTTCTAGCAGGCCATGTCATCAGATTAATATTTTTACGTTTAAATCACATTTTTGTTGATTTAGAGGCATGCACAGGGGTATTGTCTTGTTGAATGATCCAATTTGGTCCAGCTTCCGATAAATGATCTTCAAGCAAGCCTCGATACTTCTCTGAATTCATTCTTTGAGTTATAAATGCTAAATCTGTGGTTCCGTTGAATTCAAATGCACCCCACAGCATTATTGATCTCCCACCCATTTGGCGTTTTGAAAATATTTGTTTTTCGGTTCTTAAATCGTGCCAATAATACTTCCAACCGTCTGGACCATCTAAGTTGAATTTTTTTTTTCATCACTGAACAAAACTTCAATCCATTCTTTGAACCATGTCATGTGTTTTTGTCCCCAATCAAGTCTATCACTTTTGCGCTTTAACGAAATTGGTGGCATTACAGCTTTTTTTTTCTGAATTTTAACATTGGAGATTTATTTAAAACTCTCCACATTGTCGTGCTGCTACAAGGCAAGTCTGATTCTTGTTTTATTTTTCTTACTGATGTTTGTTTTGTGGAGCAAACCATGATGTTTTGTCTACAATCTCGAGGTGTAAAGCTTGGGTTTTGGACCTGTCTTGAATTTTGGTACATCCTTGCCACGTCTTTTTGATAAATAATCACCAACAGTTGATTTTGGACGATTTATATATGCTGTAATTTCTCTTATTCACTTGCCTTGTGATTTATAGGCATCAATCTGCCCTTTCTCATAATCAGATAAATTCTTGGTTCTACTCATTTTAGAATTTTGAACAACGTAAAGAATTTGTATTACAATTAGATATGTAAGCTAATTTGCGTATTTCAATGCTTGAAACTAAACAATACTCTATTTAAGTCATGAAATGAGTGCCTGTTAGTTATAAACATGAAGAAAACCTAATGCTAATAGAGAATAAAAATTTCAATAAGTCTCTCCCCCACCCTCTATTTCCTCACACCTTATAAACACACACAACACAGCACAATATTTTCCCATTATATGTTATAACAGCCTGAAAAGTAATAAGTTTTACAAGTCGAATTTGTATTTTATAAAAGTTTACATGATAAAACGTAATTGATAAATACGAATATACAATTTTTAAAACAATAAGTATTGTTTTAAAACACATTACTTCAGAATAAAATAGAGGAAAATATTCAATTATTTCGGATAATATTTATATAAAATTTTACATACAAATACTTTAAGTACAGTATTAATTAATAATTGTATATAATGTACTAATATAACTAATTATGAAAACAAAGGAATAATTATTGAAACATACCATTTGAAGCTATAGAAGGATTCTTATTGTTTTCCCATTTAGTAAAATACGGTAAAATCTCATCCCAACTCCATCCTTCTGCACCATTTTCTGCCCACTGGTCGAAATCTTTTTTATTTCCTCTAACAAATATCATAAAATTGATAACACTGCTTCCTCCCAAACCTTTTCCTCTAGGGATGCTGCTCCTCTATGAATGTAAATCATTGTTCTTAGATACATCGTCTTTATATATAATGATTATTATTAATAATATTCAAAAATTCTTTAAGTAAATGGTTTGCCTTTAATACCGACGAATGGATCCATTCAACCCATACATAAAATTTAATTCTCTTCGTACAGATAGAAAAAGATTAAAAATAATAATAATAATAATAACATTTACTTAAGATCATGTCAAAAATTATCCCTTTTGTAATTCTTTTATTATTATACTGACAAATTAACTTGTCCAAATTTGATTTTCCTATTTGTCTGATGCATGTTTTTTGTGTCAAGGATGACAATTAGTACTTTATTCACGATCTACCTTTTTTTTCTTTTTTCTTTTCAAATTTTTGACATTGATATAATAAAAAATATATAACAAATAAAAATTTTTGTATTAATATCATTAAGTATTACATAAAATTTCCATTAAAAACGTCCATTTTGTCAGTACTAAATAACTTAACAAGACTTCTTATTGGTCCGAATATCTTATAATATTTTACTCCTTATCTGCATATATTTGCATATTTCTTATTACTATTTTTTGCAGTTGAAAGAATTCAACACATGTTTTCAAATATAAAAAAATTCTTGTGTTATTAATTAACGTGTTAACGCAAAATGTAGTGTCCTTGTTTCTATACCAGATCACCTTTTAGTGTACTGTACTTCAACCAGATTATTATCACTGATGTATAAATGTTAATTATTTAAAACTAATGGAATTATTAACACATATAAAGGCATATTTTAATATTATATTACTTTCTACCTTTCCCTTATAATTAGATAACCACGTGTCCATCCGTCGACTCTATCCCTGTGTTTCCCGGATTGTCCCCAATTTTTCCCAAAGTAACTACAACCTGTTAATAAATATTTATATATATATATATATATATATTATTATTGAATAAGTGCTTTTCACCTTCCTTCGCCCTGTTAGAAATCTTGTGTGAAGCATAATAATACATTCCTATATCATTCAAGGATATCAGTTATTTTTGTAAGTGATTCTAACATTCTTTTTAGGACAGTATAAGTGTTTTTCTACGTAAAATTTCGCGATAATTAAGCACAATATAAACTTAATTTACTAATTACTTAATTAAACAAGTGTTAAATCCGTTAGTTATACGATAAATTCCACCCATTAAATAGCTTGTATTAGTTAAACCTTGGCAATTAGTATGCAGTGTGAATCGTTTTTCGAATCTAAATTTAAGGATTTTCTACCTTGCAAGTGTTTAAAACACGAATAATTCATGGGTAAATTACCTATTGTTTCTATATATTTGAGTGTAATAAATACGGAAATTTTTAAGCGATTATTTCCGGAATTATACGTAAAAATATATTAGAATTTCTTTAAAAACGTAACACGAGGAATTTCCAGAAAGTAATTTGAATAATGAGACTAATTTTTTTCTTAAAATTCTATTCTTAAATACGTAATAAATCCATTAAAAGACTAAATTGCCTAATAATTTAAGTGTAATTTAATATCTTAACAATATAAAAAAAAACTTTTATCTTTATTTATTTTTTCCATAAATTATAGTATTATTTAATATATCCGCTTGTTATATATCTTATATATTACGAATTTTTGCTCGAAAATGGGCGAAAGGGATCCTCTAACACGGATCTGTGGGTCCTTCTATCGCCAGTCTCCACAGAACCGGGTTAGAGGGGCCCCTTACGTCCCTTGGCTACTGTATAAGACAATAGTTTAGAATTGTGATTCTTCGAAACTCTTATTATATTAATAATTTAAATTTTCTTAAAATTACTAGCGAAGTTGCGGCCGAAGTTTTTATTTCTCAAACGCGAACGTCGAACGTCGAGCGCGCTATCTTGTAAGCGGCGCTCGACGTTTGACGTTCACGTTTGAGAGAAGAAAACTTCGGCCGCAACGTCTGTATTATTAGATGTTTTATTAATTAATTTAAAATTAATTTTCAAATATGTATATACGAATATTACGAACATAAGCAAACGTATAATTATTGAATAAAATGCTTTATATCATGGCCTTGGTTTAACGTGTTTAAAATGTTAATTTTAAAAGATAAAATTTCGAATATTTTAAATAAATTAATAATAAAATAATGCTAATTTTAATAGAATAATATCTGCGAAAGATTAAACCAGTTATTTAAAAAAAAATGTTTAAAAAATATGGCAATTTTAGGTGTTAAATTTGTTTTTTTTTTCTTTAATTCCTTCTTACAAATTTATTTATTTATTTAATTATATATACATTTGGTAACGTTAAAGACAGTTGATTTCCACCCCCATAAAACAAAGAAGGAATCCCAATAAAATCATAAACAAGTATAAATAACAAGGTAAGTATAACCTATAATTTTTAAATGGAACAACTGGCCATTGTTTATCTATATAATATAAAAGCCAAAATATGTATGTATATTAGGTAAAGGGTTTTATACAGTTTTTGTTCCAAATTTAGTATGAATTTTGTTCCTTAATGTGAGTTTCCACCCCTAATCACCCCTAAATCCCACCCCTCTTAACTTAAACCCGAGCAATTATATTACGTTTTTCAGTTTCTTTATAGTAAATACTTGGATAAATCAATGTAAATTTTAGTTACCAAGACTATTGTTTTTATAACTTTCTCCAAACCAACCTCAGCAATTTCCAACCTCTTAAAAAACCCGAGCAACCTTGGCACACGCAGCAAGTTACTTATAAATTAACAGGGAAAAAAGTACTTTTAAACGTTAAAAATGATTATAATAACCTTGTTTTATTCGTAACATCTTATATTAAATATTACACAATTTAAAATATGATTATTTAATACGTTGTTTATTAATCACTAATAATAGCGAAAGATCAACAGGATTACTTTTAATGCAGATTTAATGGAATAATCTTGAATTAAACGTAAAAAAAAAATAGCCAGAAACGAGTTGCTTAACTTTCCCGGTAACATTTAAAAGTTTGGTGGCACCATCTGTTATGATATTTTATTATCAAATGGCAAATTGTAAATGCTATTAACAAGTAAAAGCTCCATTCTCAAGATATAGCACACGACTTCCTCTATCTCCCCACTCTCTCGACCTTTAACCTCCAAAATTTAATAGCTATTGACCCTTTAATAAACAAACTTCCCTGCAAAATTTCAGAAAATTTCGACAAAAAGTACAGAAGTTATTAAGCTTTAAAATGGTGAAAAAATCGTCCCCCTCCCTACACACACACACACACACACACACACACACTAACACTTATACATACAGGAAAAATAAACCTGAATTTAAATTTAATAATTATTAAACAAACTTACATTTTCCTTTAATCCGAAACACGAATAACTCTGCGGGACGGATTTATAGGACCAATCCAATTCCGTGTGTTGAAGAGAAAGTGCAGCAAAGGGGATGTTAGACGCTTCGTCGGGTACAGAACCAGCCTCTAACAATAAGACACGGATCGAAGGATTAGAGGATAACCTGTTAGCGAGGACGGCACCAGCAGTTCCACCTCCAACTACAAGACAAAAAAGTTATTTGTAAAATATAAAACAATTTATTAAACACATGAAACAATACAATACTTACCTATCACGTAATCGTAACTTTTCTGTACGTTTACGGTGAATATACATTCGCTAGTTATAAAATGAGTTATGATAATTAAACCTAGACGAATAAATTTCACCATAGTTTAAATGGTATCTGTAGAAAGCGCAGTTAAACATTCGCTTCAAATGAACAGTATCACATAATACTTGTATTGTTAAAGCTTATTATTATGAAAGGGAAAAGTCTGAAGTGAATTTCCCTTTCTCATTGCTTAAGTAACCGGACTGGATGTTACCAGAGTCAACTGTAACTGGTCGAAACATTTCAGTCGCAGGTAAAAACCAATCAGATGTCGAATTACTACGTTTGGGTGTAAGAATATTAATTCTCCCCCCCAAAAAAACGAATAAATTATAACTAAATTTTGGAAAATGCGAATGGAATATTAATAACTTAAATAGCTATAATGCAAAAATTAATTTTAATCCCTTTTTTTTAAACCCTTAACAGCTTGTATTGTGCCTTAGAATTATACAGGAAAGGTTAATTTAATGCTAAAGTGAACTTCCCTGCACAATTCTATCACACAACACGGGTATAAAAGAACACTTGTAATTGATACTCACGTATAATTAGTGTATGCAAGAGGTAATTCGATTAATATTACTTTTAATTGGATCGTGCAGCATGTATTTTCCACTTCATACAGACAATTTTAAAGGATTACAACATACATACTTGTACATTTTCTGGACGAAGTTAAGCTAAGGATTTTTTGTGTATTATATAATATATAATAAATATTTATAGAGGACGATTAAAAAATCTTGTGATACAGGTTGTGTTTTATTGTACTCTTACACATAAATCATAGAAGTGATATACGCGAGTGATATTTAGTATAAAGTATAGAGACTTCCTTTCCTTCTATTCTTGGCAAATACGAGTTACGTGTGTTGTTATATGCACACACGTATTACAAGTGTGTCCTTCGGTTTGTCTGTTTTATGTAGAAACCTTTCAAATCTTCCTACGTAACTCGATTAAATTCCTTTATTTAAAAGAATTTGACTTAACAATACGACATTCATTCCTATTACTTAAATAATTTTTGCAATTTATTTTGTAATTATATTAAAAATTCTTTTATTTAATACGAAATAAAAGAATATAATTATTAACAGATTATTCCTGTTTAAACAATGAAAGGTGATATTTATATCCCAACAAAAGTGGGAGGATTTTACTTGGAAATTCAAGGATTTTTGGGCTTTTTTAAATATAAGAAATCCTAAAATTTTTAATGCAATATAAAATATAAAAACTATAGAATATATTCTGCTATTTTTGAAACCTTGCCAGTAAATTTTTATTAATTCAAACACAAATTATTTATTGTATTTATACAGACACTTGGAAAATCACATAATTAACCTAACTGAATAAAATTTAATTCTATGATTTACCAAGTGTCTGTATAAATACAATAAATAATTTGTGCTTGAATTAATAAAACTATAGAATTTATATTTATAAAATTAGAAAGTTTGGATTGTTTTTACGCGTGTCAAGAGAGGTTATCATTGGGTAAATATGAGGAAACAGGATATACGACTTTTTAAATTTATATATTTTACTATCGTAATACATTAATTCGAAGAAAACAATCTTAATTCAACGTTAATTAATTCATTTACTAAATCTTACTCCAGACAAGCTACTAAACAACCCATCTATCTCCTTATTCCTTGGAGTTCGGTATTCCAAAATTTAATAGCATCAACGTCCCTTGTATACAAGTTACCATATAAATTTGGTATTAAAGGGGTATTATTATTATTGTATAAAATCTAGACGCAAACATACACAATTTTATTTAATCCTCGGGGTTAAATTTAACATAATACAAACATATTATGGTGTTATAACAAAACAGACTGGAAAGTAAAATAAAATTCTTCCCACGCTTACAATGTTTTATGAAAAAACCTTGAAAATCTTTTAATTGTAAACAATACTTTAGATATTTGCACGTAAAATTGATAGATTAAAATTATAAATAAATTATACAGACTTATTACGTGGTTTCTTCTGAGGACAAACTTGTTTCCAGTCATTCACAGTGAAGTTTTGATATTTTTTTGACCACGATAATCGTTTCTTCGTACGCACTTTTGAAGCAGTGGTTTTTTTCTACCGTGACGACCTTTCCATCCATCTGCATAAAGTAATATTTGTTTGATTCAGTTTGTCAAAGGCAATGTTAGACTCTCCTCGTCTTTTTCCACGCGTGGCACAACTAGGTTCTTCCAGGAATTCCTGGAATACCACAACTAAAAATGTACTAAAATTATAGGAGTTACAAAAAAACATACCAAAATATATATATATATACTTATTAACTGTCTTTTACTTTCCTGGTTGTTGTATATACCAGTCGACTCCCTATAACACTTGATTTTTCTGTTTTATATGAATTCCATGTTGTACGAGTCACTTGGATTTTACAAATACGTGAACCGTTCACAGCCCGGCACACGTATTTGTAAAATCTAAGTGACTCGTACAACATGGCATTCATATAAAACGGAAAAATCAACAGTGTTATAGGGGGAGTCGACTGTAATAGAGGGAAAGTATGGCGATCGGTCAAAAAAAATGACCATCCAAGATTTTTACATTTTTGGACTCGAGAGACCTTGAAACATCGAGAAATGTAAAAACTATTTGGTATTTTTTGTATGTACGGATGTTAGTATATCTTTGACACTCAGTCCTAGCGTGAGAAGCACATGATCTGGGTCTCGAGTCCGTGATCCTAGGTGCACGCGACATAGGCATCATCCAATTATCGCTTCACAAACGTGGAAATGGAGATCGTGACAAGATTTACACGTTCCTAGATTCTGTAAAATATGTATATCGATGTTTAAATACGAGTTTCTGAGTGAAAACTTGCGGCTTTTTGCGTAAAATACGAGTGCAAAGGTGTAAAAGCCTGAAGCTTGTTAAAATTCCTTCCTCCTAGTCAATAAACGTGCAAAACATTAAATTCATGTGCCCATCATAAACTCTGTCTTGGAGGAATTGTTTAGAGGAGAAGTTCTGTTTTATACGGTGTAATACTTTCTTTGACGTAGGATTAAACACTTGCGAATGTTATTTTAATACAGTGACTATCTATAGTTTTGCTTTCGTTATGTAAATTACTTGAATTGCGCAAAGTTTTCAATAGTTTTCACTTGGTATTTCAAGGGTGGGAACGTTTTCTCACATACTGTATTCATTTCTAATAAATTGTTTAGCGCTTATCTCTCTTTTTTTTATAATTCTTTAGTTGAAAATCGAGTTTAAAAATAGTTCAAGAGTATTTTTTTACATAAACTTCCAGTGTTTTTTAACATAGTAACATTTTTTTTTGAATTGCCAAATGAGGTTATTAAACCTGCAAGCCATCTGGGTGCACGTCCTTGCTTTATCCACAAAAAAAAAGAAATTCTATTTATAGATTTCGTGATGCTAAAAAAATTATTTTCTTCTTTCTAATAATAAATTGTGTAAGGGCATTTTAGATATTGAATTATTATTTATACGTCAGAGTGAAGCTGGTTATTTTAGAGCTAATAATAAAACATGTAAATGTCACTCCTCGGAGACTGTCAAGGCCATTTATGAATTTAATTTCTTCTTATTTTGTGTTGAGCAATTTTTCCCCCTTTACGTACTCTACGCCCGGATTAACTTATTTATATTATAATTATCTAAAGTCTGTGGTTCGGATCTTAGCAAAAAGTAATAAAATGAGGAAATTTAAAATACTAACGAATGTATAGAAGTTCCCATTTTTAATTATATCTATCATGGATTCGACCGGGTCAAATTGTGGATTTTTTTAAGGCTCGAAACAGTGGATCAAACACTCGGAGGGCCACAAGCGCAACATAATTTTCAGGCTCCTTATCCTTGTTGAGTAATGTCATGAAATACATTTATAAATTTAACTTAAAAAGAAAGATACTGATCGGTTCAATCGTTTCCTTAAAAATAAATCTCTAAATGTCTAGATAAAGATGGTATCTATGCCTGACGTTCGCAGATTGTATCTCTTTCTGAAGCTGATAACGTTCGAAGGCCCTGGCAATTGAAGAGTCCAAGTACGCTCTTCGTGTGCCTTTGCCATGATCTTCTGTTGGCTCGAGGTCACCATGGATTCGAGCCTTAAAACAAGTTATTAAATTTCATTATCTTTAGAGGTTTCGTAATAATACATTTATTAATCCCTCGATTCGTTTTTTATATTAACAAAACCCTAAAATGTTTATCATTTAAAAAATATAACAAAATATTTTAACGCTGTTTTCTTACTTAATATACCGAAGATCTGTTAAAAGGATAAGTGGCTCGAGTCTCTGAAGAGTAATAAAGAGAGTAATATATATAAGCTTATATTTACGTAATAATACAAAGAAATTTACCAGTAATCATAGATGAACCTATGCAATAAGCAGCCATTCCTTATAATTGTATTCCGACTAACCTTATGCCACAATTTTGTTTTCAGCATGTAATTTTTGAAAATAAGAGAAGACATAACTCTATGCATTTGTCTTTTAATTAACGGGGAGATTAATCTCATCTACTACTTCTTTATTAATAATATTATCAGGAATACAAATAATATAGAAATAAGAAAATAATAACTTCGTTAGTAAAAGTATATTAATACAAACCTGTGTTAGTAATTGTTCTGAATAAATATTGCCGAAACTCGCTGTAATTATTCTATGGTGGAGTGATGTGGTCGAATCCATGATAGATATAATTAAAAATGGGAACTTCTATACATTCGTTAGTATTTTAAATTTCCTCATCCCCTACAGCAAAATCTTAGTATTTCGTATTAAATTACAAAATATTTTACCGAAACTTTCTGTAAAATATTTTGTATTCGGTAAAATTCAAAAATTATTTTCAAAAATTACCGAAACTTTCGGTGTAAACTTTTCCTTATTCGATTTCAAGAAATTATAATTTCCTTTAATAAATTCTAATATTTATTTTATTAAGACCTTCAGACCTCTTCCAAAAAAAAAAAAAAAAAAACACTTCGAAGACTTTCTATATATTTCTATGTTCTTCTGCATGTATAAACCCCTAGATATTTTGAAGTACTTGACGACACGCATTGAATTATGCACAAGGCCATGAAAGGTTCTGCAAATTGCTTTCGGCTACGAATGTAACCAGTAGTGGTAATTGTATGCGTGAACACACGTTATAAAACGAGTGATTTGTGTTCC